ACTGAATGCCTTAGGCATTCAACGGGATAGAGTAAAGTGGTTGACATGTGCACTGACCGTCTACCTCACTAAAAACAAAACGCAATGAATCGTCGCGAAGGCGTGTTACCATACAATAACGAAAAGGTTATCACTGGGAGACTAGTGAAACATCGATTAGTTGTGAGTCGCTTCTGTCTACCCTTGAGCTGTACTGGCCTCGGTCAGAATACCAAATGTGGAATGCTCAAACGAATGGCGAGTGCGTACACAACGCTAATTCATCGGCTATTCTTGGTCACAATCAGTCAGAGATAACTAATGCAGTGGGCTAGCTTGTCAGTCATGCTTACGACAAAAACTTTGTCGTATTGATAAACATAGATCTGGGTTAATGACAAACGGTAATCTCCCATTCGGCGACAGCGACGGACAGAATCGCGTTCCCTAAAGTTGATAAAGATGGTTTCCCAAGGGGGAGACAAGGGAACCGCTTGAAGAGAATATCGGTAGTTCGGGCTGTAATGATGGCCCTCAGTTTGTTTGCTTAGCTGGGAAGATGGCTGCAAACGTTCCATCAGCAGTCGAGATGGCATCATCAGTGCATTGTGAGTGAAAGTGCGTGGTTGTTGCGCGTAGATTATCCTTCAAAACACTTGCTTGTTGGAGCGGTTTTGAACCCAGACAAACACCACGCATTCTTCCAAAATTTTAAGCGCTCACAAGAAATCAGTAAGAGGACTAGCAGGCAAGATTGCATCAGCAAAACAGTCACGTGAATTTTTTGCTAGTCTATACAGCCTGGGGTACTAACCAAGTGGGTGACGAATGAACATAGACAAGCACATAGGCACACAGGATCACAAGTGGTGAGGACGGACACTATACAAATGAACCAACCACGAGTCATGAGTAACGAGGTAGCAAATTTCGAGGTGATACCCGGCGCGGACAACTACAGAAAACCCAAAAGACCTTAATTTGGGAGTGTGACAAGCAAGGAAAGTAGATTTCAAGTACGCCTTTGCGAAATTTATGGGTAAAGGTAATCGGGACTAGTTAAACCTTCCTGTCCCTCATAGTGCGTTGCGAGATAATCACATCATTTGTTAACAATCAGCATCAGTGGGATTTGTGCACGTTTTCAAATCCCTCTTATGAATAACGTTCATGAACATTTTGCCTAGACTCCCGACTTCAACTTTACCGAAATTAAATACGACACTATCTATTAAGTGACATGTGTTGTCAATTCGGCGTGATAGAGCAGGGTTTTCGCTTCATAGTCCAACAGTTCAGTCGTGTTATTTTGGAAGAGCCTTTCCATCTTTAGTCCTGATAGAGTGACCAAATCTTACTTGTGGCTATAAACAGCTTTATACATACCATTTGTTATGGCCTGGCACATGACTTCAAAAGTCGGACAGAGGAGTGTATAGCCTCAGCAAAGCCCGACAGAATGCATAAGCTTATGGATCAAACTCCCATGGTTTCGGTTCTACCTTGCTTCATTGTAGGTTAAACTACTTCATGAGGATACAAGTGAACCCTTGAATAAAAGCCGCCTGGTTCTGGTAAAATATCCAGCGATAACTCGCCCAACAAACGACATTAAACGCAAACGAAAAAATCTTCCAAGGGTAGTTACCATGAATTAGGGAAAGTAAGTAGAGGGAAGAAGATAAAATGAATTTGGCGTTAAGAGCACTAAAGTTCGTTTCATTTACAATGAACGCAATACTCAGTTGACCTAAACGTTTGTATCAGATCATTAGATACAGAGGTAGCAAAGAAACCGCAGTTCAGACAGAACAGTGGCGCGACTGGGTGTGTCAAACTGACACCGAAACAATCCGGTTTGCGCAGAAAACCTGGCTGGAGTATGTTGATGAAGTCAAAGTCCAGATTGTTTAGCCAAACTCTGAACAGAGTGATGAGAAAATAACTTACATAAAAAAAGCCGAAAATGACAACGAACCCTGGACCCTGTACGACACAAACAGGTCCAGAAGTGCTAAACGTTTTTTTGTTGTTTAATAAGGGTAGAACGAAAACCCATTCTTATACAACATCGAAAACAATGTCACTATAATAAACTCGATAATACTGAGTTAGCGTGCACTACTCGGTCTTATCTTACGCCTCATTACATCCAGTGTGAAATGTTCAAAATAGCGGTCCTGTGTGCGTAATTAAAGCGGTTATAGTTGAAGTTGAATCCAGTCCAGGCAAGGGAAATTCACTACTGTGGCGGGATAGCGCATCAGCTGTCCACTGACATCCCACTAAAACATGTTTCATGTAATGTTGTTTCTTGAATATTTGGTGAACCAGAAAGTGTCCTCTCACCATAGTTAGGGGTTTGTTTCACCTAAATTTCCACCCCGATATGGTGTTGCTATCTGGGGGGGGGGGTTCGAAGTAAGAATCGGTGCTCGTGAAAGCGCTTCATTTTTCGCATACAAGTTAAATTATCAGGAGCACTAGAAACAGTTGTACGGCGTTACCGCAAGGTTTGTATCTATCCGGAGTGTCCTCCTCTGCAGCGACGATTCGTACCCATTCCCCAAATTTTCCCAACTAAAATCTTACGAGAATCCACTAGAGCAGTAATCGTCAGGGCATCTACCGAAGTTACCGGCCACAACAAGCAGTTGGATAAAAAAGGAGCACACAAAAGCTCATCCAACATCCACCCGTCGGATTGAATTCACGAGCGATGATCTAGGAGCTCAGATGCGAATTTTAAGAAACCAAATTGCCCCCTCTGGTGTAAAAGAAAACACGACCTGCACTACCGGTTAACCTCAACATCCACGTAACAGCCACCAGCCACGTACTGAGTGACACGCTGGATTGTGGGTTTGTCACCTGTCATTCTGGCAATTGCACACCAGAGCAATTAAAAAGCCCGTTTGTTACAACCGTGACAGGATTAAATTGCATGTCAGCTAGCGTGAGATCCAAGCTGAAGCGACTTGATGTGGCTGGCTTACATTACCGACAATTCTTTGAAATGCCATGGTGGTCCGCTGAACAAGATATAACGGTCGACGTTAGTAACATGTGTGAAAAGTTCAGTCTTGTCCTTTAAGGTCCTCAGGCACAATGTTCTACTAAGTAATACTAGAAAGTCTAAATGCCGTCTTGAGATTTACTGTACAAGAGGGAATTTTAAACAATGAAACTATTACAAGAGAACCATTTGACTTCAAAGATTAACAGGGAATTTCGGTTACGGTTTGAGTTTCTGGAAGATTTGACGAATTACTGATTCGTAGTCGAAGGCGACGCTCCCCACGTAGGGGAAAACGAAAGGATGCCACGAGTCTCCTTACAGGCATCTGTAGCTACGTTTGTGGAGCACCAGCAAGCCAAGGAAGTATTGGAGAACACTGGGATCAATCGGTCGGGGTCCGTGACAAAGCCGTGCAATTACGGTGTGCCAGCGCTTTCGGATGTCGGGAGGGGGCGCAAAGAGGCCTTGATGGCTGTGTTCTTATGTCCAGTTAGCGAGTGCGCAAGACACGTAGACCGTAGCTGCGGCAAGTGCCCCCAGGACGTTCTAGATAGGCCCCAGTTCCGTCATTGCAGGTTGGGTTCATTCGCGTTTCAAAGCTTGTGCGCGACCAAAAGATTTTTCAGCTCATCAGTCAAATAAGGGTAGTCCTTGTGGATGATTACGTGGATATGAGAAGCTTCTGGTACGGAAATCGATACGTACCTTCGAAGATTACACAATCTTTCTGAGTGGTACTAATTGGCTGTATTGTTCCCTCGAAGAAATTTCGCTTTGCCGAGAGAACAACTGGACTCATAATTGTTCCTCTGAAAATCAAGTGTCAAAACTTTAGCACGGATTGAGCTGACACTTTAGCCTGACTTTATACGAAGCCTCAAGCTTTAGCACAATCTGCAAACAGCAGTGAGAAGTGGGGTTCCGTGTGAGGAAACAGAACCAGTTAGTTTCGGACCCACGTACCGAATAGCTCATCGATTCGAAACCTGTGTTTGCTCGCGCCCAAATGCACAGGCATACAAAGAGGTCCTAATACTTCAAACCCAGATATTCCTGTCCAGTTTAAATCATCGTTTGCACCAGTAGACGAACATCGTTTTGATGACTCACTCTATGTGTAAAATAAATACGAATTCATTGATGGGGTAGATATACGATAGAGTCGGAATTGACTTCGATGTACGAATAAATCACAGTCAACAATGCACGTAGTATACATACTCAAAAGACACACAACTTCCAAATTTTTGAGTAGATTTTGCATAAATAAAAGTGTGTATGAGCTAAGGTAAATGCCTAGAGGACCGGTAAAAAGGCTTTTGTTTGGACAAGGAAGGACCAAACTGTTGCGAGTTTCCTTATACGGCAGAGGGGCAAGACAGCCTCTAGGAAGATATATATTGCACGGATAGGGAGAGTATTCTTCATACATTCCTATCGCTACTTAATCACCCGAACACGCTGTAATCTTGTGACACTGGAGGATGGAAAGGATTAAGAGGGCTAAGGTCATCAGGATGCTTAACTGCTGGTTTGTGGCAGTCCTCGTTTCAACGTAATTGAGGTTTTTCTATCATTCAGGCACCAAAGGTCTACAGCAGTATGGAGGGGAAGCCTTAATTCATGCTAAACATGTCCGCTTGGGCTGATTGCTCACCATCCATCTTCACCTTGGTTGTTTAAGTGCTGCTTGGAACTTTTCTGATACCTTGGGAGTTGAAATGCACGCTGGGCATTCGTTCACTGGCCCAAAAATCTAACCAATTGGAACCGATTGAGAAGTTATCGTTTCAGAAGGGCTTGGCGCTCTGCGCTGGTGCAATTGAGGGATCCCCCCGGCGAACATAACCAGGGACCATGTCTACAAAATGTAACGACTGCACTAAGGTCAACATAGGACAGACGGCCACGGAACTTCAAATAGAATCGGAGAGCACAGAAGGAAATAAACAGGCTGCCGAGAAACGCAGATGAGTATAGACCGTCACTGAAAGACTCGGAAATGGCGGAACACGCACTGGAAATGGGACACAAGATAGATTTAGATGTTGAGGTTTTGAGGCGAGGACTACGATCCACGCCACAGAAACTGGTGGCTGAGGCGTTAGAAATCGCCAAGCATCCAAACAGAAGGCACGGAACTGGCAAGCGTGTGGAGAACTGTTTTGGATCAGTCGAGCTGGCACGTGTTGGTGTGCAGTCATCCGAAGGAGTCATCATCTGAACTCCACTTAACCTCATCCACCTTCCCTCATCCAACTAAAATGTCGTAACACTCACAAGCCCACAAAAACCAACGAAATCTACCAGTGGCACCCACGGTGAACCATCAATTGAAGCACCTTGAAGTGGAAGAATTAAGAACCAAAACGGATCGGAACTAATTTATTCAAGGTCAACGAGTTTTAGCACTATTAACAAATATAATTCTGCGGGTGATAGGATGGGCACCGGATACTGATATACTGATATACTCTTCAGTCAGCGACTGTTGTCATAACAGATGTACAGCAAATCCAGAAGTTATAACCATTTCTATGCAGTCGTTTGGAAATATGCTATCAAAACTAACCTTGCGGATGCTGATAGGAAGTGTTAGGAATGTAAATTTTTCTAGCTTGATCATATTCTATATGGATGTTTTGACTTGATGGAGCATCAACGTAACCAGAATATGATTAACACAGAGGTCAAAAGAATAGCAACAAACAATCAAGCTAGCCACAATGACCCACATCGCTGTCTGCCAAACAGGATTGAGGTGGCAAGAAATTGTTAGAGCACAACAGAAGGCTGGGACACACACTTACCAGGCGGCCCGAGGAATGTTCGGGAAAGGGAACAACCGTTAGCTCTTCCGCGACCTTGGGATTAACCTAAGAAAGCACAAGAAATGAAGCAAAGAAACAGTACTTGAGGCGTGAAATAGTATTCATTAAAGCTCCACCATTTTCACTCGCGTATGCGCTGAGATAAGAGATTCATAAAACGAAACTTAAAAAATCTTGGTCGTTGAATTCAGTCAGCAAGGTTATTCTCGGTTTCTGAGATAAGATAGATTAAGGGTCAGACATTTTTCCGCTAATTATATAGTGATGAACGTCAATCTGTACGCTGAGCTGATTAGTTTAACTGCGAACAGATTAACACCCGTTTAAATAATTGCTTTGGCTGGTCCGAACGTTACCTCGTGAGTCTGTCATGTGAAAGCGTAACATCGACGTCCATCACAAGAATCCGGTGAGATATCGAGTATGGGACTGAGAGTTTTCACCCCAGCAAAGTAGCCATTTGACCGAACCGGAATACAAGAGCAAGCCAACACTAAGCTATGCAACTCATGTTGAAGTCAAAGACCCCTCCGCTAATTACATGGTGATGAACGTCAATCTGTACGCTGAGCTGATTAGTTTAACTGCGAACAGATTAACACCCGTTTAAATAATTGCTTTGGCTGGTCCGAACGTTACCTCGTGAGTCTGTCATGTGAAAGCGTAACATCGACGTCCATCACAAGAATCCGGTGAGATATCGAGTATGGGACTGAGAGTTTTCACCCCAGCAAAGTAGCCATTTGACCGAACCGGAATACAAGAGCAAGCCAACACTAAGCTATGCAACTCATGTTGAAGTCAAAGACCCCGACTGTCAAAAGGCAACAGAAGTATTCATGGAAAGTCAGCACTTTTTAATAGACAGGGGAAGGGTCTCTATACCGTTCAGGAGGCGAAGTGGAAAATTCTACTAAAACGGAAAAAAATGGGTTGAAAAACTAAACCACTACAGTAATGGAGCCAAAAAATTTGTACACAAAAGCCGCATACTTTGTCCTTTGCAATTTCCACTCCACCATGTAGGCATAAAATGGGAGAGTGAAAGCAGCCTCAGGTAGTTGACGAACGACTCACCATATCAGTTGCTAGTAGCATAGTTAGGAATCCGAATAATTCCAGTTACCGTGACCGATAAGCGAATCGGAGAAAGCTGGATTTTCTGCAGCACAGTGTTTCACGAAATGGGACACGCCTCGAAAAGCTCTTATCAATTACTGGTGGTGGTTCGGCACACAATGCATGAAGACGTCAAAAATATTGTATTTTCCTTCCAGTTATTAGAAGTAATCTCTGAAAACTATTGCTTTTATATGCTTAAATCGCATAGCAAAGATACCCAATCTAAACAGTGGTTAATTAATGTTAGGTGATGAAGCAGCCGTCATACTGCGCAGTTATTCATGATTCGCAGCATCAAGGTCATCCATTATTTTCTACCCAATAGTAAAAACAGCGCTGCATAAAATACTCGACCACGGTTGCGACTATTTGTATCAAACATTGCGGAAAGTGGATGCAACAAACTGTGCTTTCGCATCAAACGGAAATGAAATAGCTGTCACTGTCGTATACTATACATCAATTTCATCAGTTTCTGCTCGAATGAATAACCAAATACACCGATTGTTCTTTAGTTGTTTAGAGTTCCTCTAATAAGGAATTTTATGAGTCACTTATGTAAGACTGCAAACCCTGAATATTTTCCATAGTTGGGAATCTCCAGAACAACTTGCCCCTCGTGTGATTACAATATCCGAAAAACCTGAAATTACTAAACAGAAAAAACTGGATAAGTGGGACCAGTAAACCTGAAAACATTGATTCTCGCTGAACGGAATGCAGTTCAGTGTCACAAGTTTACAGGCATTGCTAGCGAAGCCACTCTACCCGATACGCCTACACGTAGGACGCTTATTACGCCTCATTATGACGCAGATGGAACTGCAAGTAAATTGTGGGGACCTTTCCAACGTGTGCTGAGTAGGTAAGATAAGGACGTATGTGCAAAACGTGTAGACGAAATACCAAATTTTCAGGCATCCGCAATTGCACACACTCTGGGCATCTTAGTTTATCACCCACTTCCTAAATTTATATTAATGGTCCCTGATGAATTGATTGATTTTAGGGGTAATACTGTAAGGAAGTGGCGTTCGGTTAGTAAAACAGCAATAGGGTACGTAATATCGTTACGGTTATCCGTTTTCGTTACATATTTCCGCTCCATCAAAACTTAGGATCTTGAAAGATGCAAAAACAAATCACACAACTGACGGATTATATCAAATTTGCAAGTAAATGAAGCAACCGGTAGCACCATCTCACATTTTGCTATGAGACCTCCACTGCGGTCAAAGCAAGTTAAGTGTAGGGACGAAAACATCACGAGAAAATTAAACGCCGCCTGGTCTTTCTGAAGCAAAACCACTAACAAAGTTGCTGAAAACCTCTCCACGGTCAACCACTGGTTTCGCCCAAATTGGGGAGCATCAGATAGACTTACTCCCAGAGGTTACATCCATCCTACTTTCGACTCGAACTTCAATGTTTGCACAGGTGGAAAAACACACTCATTTAGAAATTAACCTCGTGTTGTTCTTGATCACTGGTATGTTAGTCTGGTTTACTTTTTATCAACATCGTCCGAAACTCGCCATCTAAGTTTCTTTATAAGTGAGTGATTTTCTCTTCGACCTCATGACCTTGTGAAGGATATGAACATCTTTACGAATGCGCATCACCGCAACTCTCCAGAATTTCTAAACGTTCTGAACCTGGACCCTCGGCCGGTCAATCTAATCCATGAACATTATGGTACGGCAGCTGTGACACTATGAAGGCGACGCGTGTGGATGTGTTATCTTATCGAAAAGTCTGATTTGACGGGTTTTATAACCATCGTCCCCCGATTCCTTTTGACCTTTACAATTATATGAATGGACAAAGAAGTGACTAACAACTGGTGCTGTGTACTGGCGAATACCGGTAGTGAATGGGTTCTTTCTAGAGAATGCGAGTCATTTGATTAAACAAAAATCAGCACCACAGTAACAATATGTATTCAACAACCTGACATGGTCTTCATCTTGTTATTTTGGAACAGCCTTGAGTTAGAATCTATTGTCTAATGATAGCTAAATGCCTACTGCTAACAGTAGCATGCACAGGTATAACAATACCAATAACACACCGCGCGACAAACTTATGGTTATCGATTAGCACGTTTCTGAACGAGTCTGATAGGTAAGCTAAGCCTCTCTAAGGATTATCCTTAAAGGCTTTAGTCTGACTTCCTGAAACTTATGGTCGTCTTCAACATTCTAGAAGCAAATTGGATGACTGTTCAAATTAGGCTTTCCATCCAGGCTAAAAGATCAAACAGGTCTCAGACAGTCCTCTGACAACGACACTGCAAACATGAACTAAATTATGGTTCCCAAAGCTTGCGAAAATCACCAGCTGCATATCTTGTTCCTTCTGTCTAGTTCATTTTTAACGATACGAAAATACGCAGGCGTTTCCAGCACACACGAGGAATTTTCACAAATTTAACCAATCATCCCGCTCCTCACGAACCACATATCAATGGTTAGAGTTACTGTCAGATATGTCTCAGTCGCGCCCTCAATGGCGCTCATGCATCCAAGCTATTGCCTCCAATGTATAGCTCCCTACCCAATCCATCCAATTAACAGCCCACCTGCAGTGCTCTATTTACGCACTAATTTATCAGCTCCCGCCTCCAATGCGCAGCTACCTACCCCACGTCCCCGAATCACCATTGAACAAGACTGTGGCAGCTACAACCACTGTACGACAAGTACGCGCTTATTACAGCTGACAATCATGATGATGATGAATTAGATTTACAACAGAAACGACGGAACAGGCTCTTCAACCAAAGCCTCTACTAAGGTACTTATTAACCGGATCTTCGCCCGTCAACTTTTCCCCTCAAAGCCTCAGACACTTTCGGTTGGCACGACCCTCAATCGTATCGAGGTTCACACACATTCCCACTTAGTCTTTTGACCCTTGAAAACACGCGGCCAATATATGTGCTTCCGTGTTAATTGCAACTCTCGCTGACTATTGCGGCCTGGAAAACCAGTTGAATTAAAGTGGTTGCCAAGAGGAGAGCAGGATATTTTTCAACCTCGACGATCGCCAACCAACCCTAGAATCTCACACCTGTCATAAGTTTGTGGATCCAAAGATTTGAGTTCGGCGAAATCTCCAACAAACAGAGGGGTGTTAACTGAAGCTGGACCACTTTCTGAAAGTTACGTAGACGTACAGAAATTCGAGAGTTGACTAAATGGACAACGATCCCGATGACTATTTAGTGGTCTTGCGTCATTTAACACCTACACATGCGGATGACGGTTTCGCACTACCCGTGGAATTGGGTAGCCTTTACGGCCTCGCAATACCTTTTATCAGTGATCTTGGGGCGAAAATTTCAGAAATGACGGAAATCCCACTTCTTTTGCATGGAATGAGCATCAAATGACCAGATTAGAAGATACACATGGCTACGATTACTAAAATGAATAACAGGCAACCCATCGAAGGTAAAAAAATTTCGTGGTCATCCTGACTATCCTAGACAAGAGTATTACCACAACGCAATGGATTCATGGGAATTGTAACGGTAGTTTGTAATAAAAACCGTATTAACTCACTTTCGAGAATGAAACCAAACACTCTTTTATGGAGGATTGATGTTCACCCACGTCCGTTATGCTGTCATTCACGAACACGATGACGTCGAAACGATCATCCAACAGGTTCTCCACGTTCAACAGAGGAGACTGCATCTTGCGAAAAACCACGTGGTCGTCAAACTGTGGATTTCGAGCTGCTGGGACAGCGCAGTGGCAGTCGCGATCAATGCAAGTAAACGATTGGTTATGCATCCTCTAACTCTTATTGGTTGGTTTAATCGAACCAGTAGCAGGACACCTGCAGCCCGCATGGGATAGCGAGCACGCAGCCGACCAGCGCGCTCCATACGCCCGAGACGCAGACGCTTCGATGCGACATCCCAGACAGGGCCTCGGTAATGCAGCTTTCCTTATGCTCGATGCCCAACGGTTATTCAGTCATCAAGTAACCGAGATATAAGTAGACGCTCTCAGCCTGTATGGCACAATCTGCTTGTTATATCGTTCGCTGCGACTTCCACCCGCGTTTCGTGGTATTTTACTCCTGAGTTACCCGTAATGACTATTTCGCCTATAAAGTTGTCCAGGTGTTTTATTGATTCTCAAGGCCGCGACCGGGGCTTATGTGGAAAACAGCTTGGGTCGCCCAAACACAAACCCAAGCAGATGTCCAATGACCTGCCCTACGATGCCCTGAACCGAATTTGGGATAAAATAACTAAAAACAAACGTTATGATGCCGATTGCTTAAAATAGATCGCGTTTGGTTGGCCGAACGTAGCTTTTAACTCGAGGTCCAATCATAATGCCTTTCGGTTGATTAACCAGTGAGTGTTCCTTTTCCCAGTAGAGGTTAAGCAATCCTACGTTTTCAGTTAAAATTCATTTTTCGTTGCCTCTGTTAGCGCCAAACATGTGTGCATTTGCGATAAGCACAACAGCCAATACACACTAACAGTACTCAAGTCTGGCAAATGATAAATTACACTTTCTGTCCATTTACACGAATGTTGGAGAAGCAGCCAGTTTACGATAAGTTAGTTAACCCAAGGTAAAGTCGGTTGGGTAGAACGCGCCGAGACAATGGAAATCGATCAGTGGCTGTGGTTAGGTGGTTGCCGTGGATTGAACGCGATACATGATCAGGCTTTGGCGTGTCATTCACAAAGCTGTTTTCACAGGGTTTCAGTGATCGCAGCCTGATGCATTCAGAAACGACCGCGTTGTAACCTGTCTGCAGTCGGGTATGGGGTGTATGATCGCTTTTACAAAAGTTTGCGCGTTCGAGTAAACTGGCTATCGTAAGTCCGTCCCCATCGGTTGCAATGTCGCACAAAGGTAGACAGGCGGAAGGCGGTAGAATCCATTTTAGAAGTCTTGGAAAACACTCAGAAATGTATCTATTTTTGGGAAAAAAGCTTTTTCAGGCAGTACGTGTCGTTTCGGTCAAGTTTAAGAAATGAAGAGCCAATAGGTGAAAAGTTCGGAAACGAGGATATATCAGCGTTATATGTCGGTCAGAATATTTGCTGTAGTTTGTGAGTGGATGTTACTCTCAATAGATGGGGGGGAAACCAAAATGGATTCGGGATGGATATGCGACATGGTTCTTGGTGATGAATTTCGTGCGCCGGGTTGTTTGTGTTGCAGTGTTTGCTGCTCTTTGGGATGTGTGAAATCCGTCGGAGGGTCGATTTTACATTCCTGTGTTTGTGAACGACAGCATAATGAAAGCGTGCAGAAATCAGTCTTCAGTGGAGAAGTGTTTGATTTCAGCTGTGGGACTGAGTTCTTACGGTTTCCACTGAAACGGCCATTTACTCTTGTCCGAACATATCTGGCAACAAAGCTAATCCAATCAATTGCAGGCCGATAAGCATCAAATCAATGGTACCATAAACCAACCACTGGTTTCTCAGTCTACCAACATACGAAACAATATGGCGTCCGCAGACTACACGCATGAACATCTAACCTGCTGATATCGTCGCAATGTCCATTCGCTTCTCTTCGTGGCACGACGACGCTAACCATGATGTGGCATCTGTCACACATGGGTAAACGGGGCACTATCGCTGGTGCCTCCAGGGCGTGGTTGATTTGTGATTGGCAACCGGGCTTCCTACAAAGCACCACATGGGCCCAATGACGGCAAGATGACATAGCTGGAGTAAGCCTGTCATATAGTGGCTCCACGTGCCACGAGGAAAACAAGGACTCGTGGTCAATACTTGATACGTGATGGTAGCGGGCAACCGTAAAACCCCTCTGTTACACTTGGATGTGCAAGGGCTAGAGAGCGAACTCAAACCCATCATCCAGCGCTTCCATCGGCCACCCACATATCGCTGCCTTATAGCTTGCACTTGGCTGTGTAAAGGCTAAATGTGCACCCTCGTGTGGCTCTTAAGAGGTCACTCGTGTTACTTCATGAAAATATTCCAAATACGAAGCTTCCTACATTCTAAGGTGCCCTTGGTAAGCGACTCACCCGACGCTCACTCAGCCGTCGTGTTAACAAACCCGCAAACTTGGCCTCCCTAACTTCTTCTAAAAATGAGGAAAGAATCGCACACAAACTACTGGAAAGTCCGTATTCTGTTTGATATGAGAAACCATATTCTCTTCGTACGAACTCTCTTTGACTACCAGATTCACATTGGAAGTCCTTCAGAGACACAAACTCTTGGTTTCAGTTTATAACGCATCTAATCACCAGGTTTGCAAGCCTCCTACAAGCTATGCCATTGCAGCCCAAGTGATATCTCTAGCCTGCCTTTGACAAATGCACCCATAATGTTTTAATCCTTTGGGAGCCAGTACCATCCAGGATCGCGACGGCCCGCTTCAAGGACTCTCTATTGAACCTACTGCCATAGCCATCTACGCCCCTAATTCTCTATCGGATCATTCAGTCACGTATGATTTCCAAGATCAGCTACAAAGATTGATTAACCATACACCCAACCGCAACATACAATTGGTTACTGGTGACTGGAACGCTAGGATAGTAGTTTCAACCGATGCAGCGAGTCACGTGCTCAAAACGTTCGTCAGAGAACAACGATGCGAAGACGCCCATCGAGTGATAAACCTCGCAATTTACAGTCGACTCGTGATATCCAACACCCATTTCCAGCACCCTAGGAGGCGTTTACCCATCTAGTGTTCCAATAAACATCGTATTACTTCCAGACTAGGCTATATCCTGGTGGCAGCCCATGAACGTCGTCTACTGAAGAGCGTAAGTCCTACCACGGAACATAAACCGGGAATAAATGCGACTCAAACCTTACCATTGTATACGCAAGATTTAAATTTCACTTTACAGCTCTTCACAGACTACGACCCACAAAATATGTGGGTCCTCCGAAGACTCTGAACAGTGCCTTCAACTGTCGGATGCGATAATCAACCAACTTACTACTACCAAGTTACCACTTGCCCGAGTTCAATGAATTTTAGTCGAAGAGGCGGTCGGGAGGTGAATTCGTAATGTCCTCTACAATAGGAGTGTGAAGACACTAACGCGTTCCTTCAAGTGACCAACATCCGGATTTATAAAAACAGCAATGCTGCTTCTTCTCAAGGAAGGAGAGGTAAGAAAAGATTGACCCTAAAAACTGCCGTCACTGCCGACGCATTGCTCAATACGGTAGGAATACTTATAAAATCAGAACCTTTGTTGCTGTTCAGAAGGTCCTTTCTGTGCGCAGCCTCATTATGATTCAGACAATTGTACCTCGCTCCCTGCTTCCTCGGGCCAGGCCAGAACCCCTACTACCAAGCGGGTCAGACCATTGAATTTATTGGATCCTGGAAGGGTCTCTCAAGAAAGCCCTAGCAACCACTGCCTTGCGGTTCAGACACCCGGGTCAAAGATTATTGGAAGGGTCTCGGAACACCGCATTGTGGGTGAGACATTTGTGTTGAACGTCCAACTTATTCCCCTTCTTAGGTCTGGGCAACCCAAGAGTATCGTCCTCCTCTGCAGCTATTCGTTACCTGGGCCTCACCCACACTAGCCCCCACCAAGAGAATCTTCGAAACTTTGGTGGTCAGGTAACAACCATGAGAAAAATACGAAGAGATGGACTGAACATTTCAGCTCACCACTTAGTCGCCCATCCAATCATCAGCTAATCACTACGGACACAACCATCTCCACGCAGCTGCGACACCCCTCACCAAAGTGAATTAGCTGACATAGGCAAGCTACTAAAATGTGAAGCTTGTATCCTGGCGGAAATCTACAAAGCCTGTTGGTTGGTAGCCTTCGGACCTCTTTGCAAGTTGTTCTGCTTAGTATGGTAAATCGGAATGTGGCTGGTGGATTGGGGATCCTGCTGCCTACGCAAAATAACTGAAAGAACGGGTTGTGAGAACACCCGGGGCATCGGCCGCATAAACGTCATAGCCAGAGTCACTGTCACGCTGTTGTTACGCAACTTCCGAGACATTTGATTGTCACATCAGGCGGAATCAGTGAGGCTTCCGTGCAGCCAGAAGTTGCGTTGACCAAATATCCAAGCTACTTCGTGATTTGGAACACCGCCGCAAATTTCACTAACCAACCACAGTTTACTTCATCGATCCAGCATTTGACTGTCAGTAGGGAATGCCTTGAGTTCGTCTTGAATGCCGGTGGTATACCGGATAAGCTGATGAATCTCATCAGAACCTATCGCTCAGTTAAAAAAAATGTACCTGTAATTACACAGAGAGGAGTTAGGGGGCTTTGCCTGAAGCTTCGGTGTCTGGCAAGGTTGACCAACTTTGCCGACGCTTTTGACTGTCGTGATTGATTGGATAATGTGGCAGGTCCTCAGCGATTTACACGGATTACCAATAACCCTACCAAGTGGGTAACGGACTTGATTATGCTGATGAGTAAAGCTGCCACATTAATTCCAGCGTGTCAGCGGCTGCAATTCGCTGGATGACGTGGAATTTAATTCTGGAAAGACGAGGTTCTCCATCAGAAGCATAGCTCTTGGGTATAGCCCGTTTAGTGTTGACCGGGAGCCCATAAACCAAATCGATTCCTCGGATTATTTGGACTTCATCATCCCGTCAAATGATGAACACAGAAAGAAGTAGACTTCGTATTGACAACTCCAGAAAATCATTCTGGCAGATTTACATTGCTCAATGGAAGCACTCGGAAATCAGTCCTCGAACCAAGCTCCACAACCATCCGATACCTACTAAGATAATTCTGTGAGACTTGGCCTATCCCACCTGTTTCTCCTCAAAATCCCGAATTATTTGCCCCTTGTTGCTTAAGGAGACCGGTTATCTAATTATGGCGTCAGGAACCGATATTATGACATTCCACGCCTCGCCACATTGATCCAGCTACGCGGACTACAGTGATTAGATCATGTCCTTCGTAAGTCAGGCTCCTAACTATCCAGTTTTATGTTTAGAGTAACGCCATCGCACAGAAGGACAGTAGGAAAGCTGGCTGTCTGAGGTTACAACCGACATTCAGCTACTTGGTCGGCAGGCTGTCTATAGGATTGGAAAAGAAACTGGATGACGCTGTGCTCTTACCTTGCTAGTGGTCGTGCCGTATAGACTGAGATGGTCCAGGTTAGTTTTGGAAACGAATCATCCTTATCCAGGAGCAAGTAATCGTAAAGTGTAAGGTGATCTGAGATACTACTTATTTTGTAACAACAGTCGGTGTAACCTACCCAAACCTCTTGAAGGCATTCACACAGTCCTGTTGGAAATTCAGGTATGTGATTTAGACTGACAATTGCTGTCATGGGTCATAATGTTTCTCTGTAAAATGATTTAAGAGACAAAGACTCTGTGGAATGTAGTATAATCAACTCAAATGGAATGTGGTGTACAACAGAAATCAGTTCAGGTTTACTGACCATTTTTGTTGGTCACTGACGACCTGGTCCACATCCGCACCGCGAACTATTTCCTGCTTGCCGATATTGTACAGTAGTGAGGGCAACCACTTCTCAGGAAGGCAGATGGGGCCAATGAGTAATACCTTCTCCGAATGCACGGTGCAATCTGATGGTCTATTAATATGGCTGCGCATTAGCCTACTGCGTTGCGGAACAATCATGTTCAACAGGGCCATGCGATTACACCCACACGTCTGAATCACGTCCGATTTCATTCATCGCCGGAGAAAGATAAAAAAGGGACACATGCATTTCACGCCCACCTGATGACCAAGGCATCCCATACACAAGCGCACAGACGCCATCCATGATCAACCGAGACAAAGGAGCAATCTCCCGAGAACCGGTGTAGGCGTGCTGGAGACACACTGGTTGGTTGAGAGCGGCTCGACGATCAAATGCAGTCACAAGTTAATCATATAAATAGAAATTGTAACTGCATTAATACAGTTTTTCTGGCCGCCTTCTTGTCTTTTGACTATAACCCAGTATCGTCAGGGAAGGGGAAGAGCTACGACAACTAGCCCCTAAGAACCAGGGTTTTATGTATTCCTCAAGAACGTGATCTCGAGCAAGACCTGAGATCCCAGGCGTTTAATCCAGTGCGCTAAGGACTCCCTTATTCAGAACAGTCAGCTGGAGCTTTCTTGGCTAGCGGTTTGGAAATCTGAGGCGGCAGTTTGCCCCAGCTTCTAAATGCGTAAGTCTGTCGTCTTTGTGGGTTTGCCGTTCACCTCGAGAGACCGAACTACGAAGGCAACCGAGCAACATTTGACCCAACCCGGACACCAGCGACCAAGTTGTTAATGGGTATTAGAAGTCCTACCTGCTCAGGGAGACTTAAGGTTCCCGGTGTACTCTCTGGATGCTGTCAACGGGGACTTCGTAACAAATGCTGTGTGAGGAAAGTCATCCTTGTGCAGCATCCTGTACATCAGGCAAAACAGGTAATCAGCGGGTTAGCCCACCGAAATAAATTCTCACCAGGGATATGTTAAAATCCCTCCACAGGTTCATTTCCAACACCAGCTCCTTCTAAGAAGAGAACCCTATTTTAAACATTTGCATCACTATCAGTAGCCTTGGCTCTCAAACTCTACGTTTCCGGCAATTCATTTTATCCCTTTCTTATTCGCTGCTGACAACAAATACAGAAGCTTTGATCACATGTATCTACGCACGTTCTTATCACTGAAGTCTCTGAGGCACGTTTCATGCGATGCGTATCCGAGTTGTCGAAAACATGAAAAAATGTGCCACGCTGCGGCTCACTTATACACCTGACAGGCGCAAACTTCAGCTGGTTTAATGGAGTGGTTCTCCATCGGAGGGTCCAAATGAGTGATGGATCTGAAAACACCACCGGCCATATCCTTATTTGTTGAGACTATTTATAACACAGCTGACACTAGTAGTTAGTCGCCCTGTGTTCCGTGTTTTCGCCTTCCATTGTTCGCAGATCAGTCGATATTGGGCGTGTTCTGGCGCTGGTTTTTGGAACTTCACAATCCAACCGTGGAAATGTAACATTAGAAATGTGACGTGTTGCGAAAATAACCGGCTGCACTTTATGCACGCATGTCAAATCAGTCCTACCTCTGTTCCTGCAACACTTGTCCGAGAATTATAGAGATGCACGTGCGTGAGACAAGAAAACACGCCTTCATGCTCAAACACGCACACCGGTTCAAAACATATCACTCATTTGTTTGAACGAACCGGAAGAATTGCGCCAGGGTGATGTCTCCAAATTCCACACATCCAACAAACACCTACAATTAGTTTCCTGTTTACGAACTTTTCGACTATAGATATCAGAACGACGACCACACAGCCGGCTAAGTGAAGAAAGCTCTACATAACATCATAAACTCAAGCTCAGCTTGGTATCACCCGATAGGTTGTATGCTCGGCTTGCCATACAGCGGCAATTCATCTTATCCAAAGAGTAGTATGTTCATTCGAACGATTATTCGTGTTTTCGGTTTTCATTTGTCATTAGTTCTATTCCTTAATTGAAGTCGTTTTATGATGATGAGACTAGAAGCACCATAAGGTTACTTAGCCCTTATCGGAGATCATCATCAGTGCGCCTCTCACGACTATCTGGGGTTGGCTTAAGCCCTCGAGCCACCGGCTGATGATTGAAGGCTTTCGGTAACAAACTTCTGATCAAGAGTGACTAACTCACACGTGGACAAAGTATAGCACCACCCTCGGCGATTTACGCGACTCACATCATATGGTCACTGGTCAACTAGACCCTTGGATGACCAGGAACCTTCCTGCATTCTCACCTTCCTACATTCCTGCGAACCTATTACAGTTGATGTAGAGCCCCTAGATACCCTCGACAGATGACTTGTAATCCAATGGATTACAAAGGTTTTCTGAAAAAAAGCATACGGATTATGAGGATAGCCGGATGCCAATTGAAAGGTGGTCAGGAATGGTTAGAACCCTAGTCCAAGAACTACTGTTTCACAGTCTTATTTACCCAGCTTGTTGTGCCGCTCACACAGACATGCCTGACGACCACGCAGATTGAGACACTTAAGACTGAAAATTAGGTTCATTCGAAAGCTAAGTTTTATCTCCACAGTTTGATTTCGGATCCGGCCGCCAAACAAAGATGGCCTTTGAAGTTTCTCGGATTCCTAGCCATGTTACTGGCACTTGATATGCTGGGTTTATCGTCAGTCGACAGCGGTTACCTTGAATCTGTCTATCTCAGGACGCCAGCATTTAACCCAAATGATCCAGTGCTAAATCTAGTTTGTTGACAGTAATCTTCTGAATTTATGGTTAGACCTGTCGTGAAATTTCACGTGTTCCTGTAAGGAAATCTGTGCCCCTCTCTTCACATCTTTTGAAAATCATTCCTTCGCTGGATAACTCCTTTATCAGTTTCCTTTATAAAAATATACTGCGATATCTCGAATATCGTGCCAACTGAATCATGAGGCGGCCTGTGTGCAGCACATTCAGCTGGAGGGCATCATAAACGAGAGATTCAATTTAGTCTCCCGCGGAAACCAAATTGATTTGCAGATGAGTGTATTTCTCGAAAACAGTGCAATTTAGGTTCAAGTAGATCATAAGATTGACGGACTGCGCCTACCTGATGAGCCCCAAGAAGGGTGAAACCGGTCGTGGGCTGTCGAAGAGTTTTCAGCAACCTTGTGAGTAGTTTCCTTTATGAGAACTCTTCTATCAGTTTTTAATTCGATTCACTTATTATGTCATCTCAGATTATGTTACTGAAAAGAGAGCTAAAATAGATCTGATAGGTAGATATCATAGATATATCAGCCACAACTCATCGAATTTCCTCCTTTATCCCGCTTGATTTCTTCGTTCAGTAAAAAAGCCAGACAGAAACCCTAGTAAACTCAATGTTCTTCAGCACATTTTCTTTCAGCTCGACATCATGCTAATCGTGATTCTGGACTTTGTTCTTCCGGGAAACCACTTGATGATGAAATCATACACCGTATCAAGGTGTGCAGCAGAGACGTCTTGATCAATAAATAGGGAAGCGGTGACACCTCACCGATGCGATCACGGATTTGGTAATTTGGCTGTACAGGTTGTAGTTGCTTGGTGGAGCAGACGGATAACCCGAAAGGAGTAACTAACATCGGGTTTGGTGTGCGGAGTCCAGAACAAGAGTCCAGGACAAGAACAAGCTAATCAGTGTGACCACAAATCGATGTACTGACTTTTTGCGACAGCCCACACGCTAAGGTCCCATGTTAAGGACTAACGCCGTCAAGATGTCTCACTCGAAGTGACCTCAACCTTGATAGCGACGATTAAATTTCCATTCACATCCAATTAGTACATTCATTGCCTCCACCTTCAACTCACTTGATTCTGTTGTCGTTTGGTGCTATATCTGTTCGTGTGTGAACACGCTCAGGGAAACTGTGCGTGGGTTTCTGTCCCTCCCCGGACTGGATAAAACTCAATTCACATACGTGGTGAGGTGGAGTGTGTCACAAATGACGAACTATCGGTCAACTCCACGGGCTAGCAGACGGGACTTACCCCGTGGACCTTTGATTATAGGACGAACAAGGCAGGACTTATACTGTCTTCAGCAAGCAAGTTCACACACGTATAACCTCAGTAGGTCATGCAAAATCGGACTGACCCATGATGCTCTTTGTCTGCTCGTCACTAGGCCGGGTGACGTCAGTCCGGCATCAGCCATTCAACACAGAGGTGAGAATAAAACGTACTGAGTACTGTTATTTGGATATCCTTACATGCACGCTGAGAGGCAGGACGGAACAACGCAAAAATTGACGAGATTAGAAATTACCAAACCACCCTAGATTCAACTCGATGCACTCACTGGTTGCGGTTAAACGATCAGGTTCCATGTTGTTTGACCTTTTGCCTCACAGCCAGTAAGCATGCAAGTATCAGCATAAACTCTCATTCGCACATGAAGTGGGTTACGACGGGAAACTCAACCGAATCCAGATGAATCTCTCGCTAATAGTGGGTGAAAGCTTCTCAGCAACATTACGAGTAGTGTGTTACATCGAAACAACAATGACTGTATCAGCTTCAGTAACTTAAAAAGAAGTAAAACAGATTTATACGGGTGTTCGTTGCACGGTAAGCTAAGAATTCATAGGTATGCTCATGCAATGAAAATGACTATCTGGTCCCTTAGAAAGACCTTTCTATTTTGCGTTTTGCTTAGTTAGTATTACACAAGCAAAGTTCAATCAGTGTACTTTTGTTTTCATCTCCTTTTCAGTGACATCCTGAGTTTGTAAATAGATTCCGCCATATAAGGGATTCTCAAACTCTCTTCCTTTACCGCCCCTTTTCTCGAGCTTGGCACCGTCCATCTGAATATCTTAAACGTCCATTGGGGATGAAATCACTGTATTTGATAACCGCTGATTCATACCGTAAACGCTTGATGACCACGCGAAGGAATGTTTGCCATCCCGTTATTAAAATGCCATCTTGTTTGCCAAGATGTGCCCGTTGAAGATTCTATCCCTTGTCCAAACTCTCACAAATGAATGCAAACCACTGGAAGTACATAAAATATTACTATCCTGTTCCCCTTAAAAGTAATATGATAAACCATAACCGGATGAAAGTAGTCTCTATAAAACGGAGGTGGACAGTTTCGGAAGAACGATGAAACATAATGGAAATCTTCAGCTTATAGCGGAAAGGAAAGAAAAAAGAAAGAGCGTTCGGCTGTAGCATCCTCCCGCTACCTAGCTGCCATGCCACCCGAAGGAAGCACGAGGGCTGGGATACTGCCAGGTTGCCCAAGCCTAGACAGACGAAGTAGAGAGGTGGAGGTCGGATTCGAACCACGGACCTTCCGGTCAGTAAATTGCGCTCTAACCACTTGGGCGATCTCGCTTATAGCGGCGTCTTCTGAAGTTAAGATTGTGGCAGATAGGTTAGTGAACTTCATAAAAATCGCACCATAGTTTTGTAATCTGGAAGTGCTTGAATCACGCATGACTGTCGTCCAAGCAGAGCACAATAGCGCACACGAGTTCTGAGCACTTGCCGAATATTTAAGTCTATGTTGATCCGAATTATTTTGATATGACGGTCATCAAGCACTTTGGTTTCAAGCGTATTAGTAGTTCGTCAACTTGCAAGGTATGGTTCATTCGATAAACATTTACGAGGTTTACTGTAATACCTTCAAGTACAGTCTCAATAGAAATGGATTTATCTTTGTAATGTACTACTCATAAGGTTGCTGAACATCCATCGACAGCCCACGACCGGTTTCGCCCTTCCACTTTGGGCTCATCAGGTAGGCGCAGTCCCCGGGTTTCCGTCAACCTGATGTTCTACTGGAAACCAAATTGCACGAATAGCGAATATACACTCATCTGCAAACTAATTCGGTTCTTTCGAGAGACTCACCTGGAACCCAGCTGAATCTGTCGTTTATGATGTTCTCAGGCAACTGAATGTGCTGTTTACTGTAATACCTTCAAGTACAGTCTCAGTAAAAACGGATTTGTTCGCGTGTGTTGTGAACGATATGCCGTCTGGTCACAGCGGTTTTGGCCTTTTCAGTCAACAGAATACGTTCAGACTGTAGCGTCAATCGCCCAGTGACTATCGCTTATTGCATAGAAAAGGTCACGAAATGATTGTATCTGAACTATTCTCGACCATACTGCCCGCTCATGAATTTTTCGCCACCGTAGACGCAGATCACTTCACCACGCCGTGGTCAATTAATCACTTCTAAGCACTACGGGAAATGCTGGACGAACACCGTCTGCATTCAAGTGCATGTCCTCAAATCATTCAAGGATGACAGAACAGCACAGTATGTGATCGCATGTTATGTTATGCCTCACTCATCTCGTCTCCAATTTTGTTGGGAAAATTAGTTCACATGTCTATTCATCCACTGCTTTTTGTAACTGACGAATCAAGAAGTCCTATGCACGGATGATATCTTGGTAACAAGTTTACAACTTCGACTGGAGCAGTTTGTATGACTAAGGAGATGTGTTCGGCAGGTAATACTGTGTTTACACCCTAACTCTTAATCAGATTCCGATCACATGCATGTTTACCTGTAGATATGCTGTGCTTCTAATTGATGATGTGCTGACAAACAGCACACCTGATAGTGTATTAAGAGTGTTGGTCGGTCCTCATTACTCGGACAGTAAAAGTGAAATAAGCCGAAAGATCTGGGTAGCTGGGGATCTAGATAGACGTCTACATCAGACATAAGATAGTTAGGGAACGAAAACGCCAGTCAGGGGGGGGGAACGTTTTTACCCAGGCTAGTGTTGGTCAGAAAAGGTATTGAAATTGAGCAGCCACGACTGGTGAACTTTGCCAACAACTTAGGGTGAACTCTACCAGGCAGATGCGCGCGTGTGAATCAACTAATTTTGCAGGTCCTAACTCTGCCGATCCATGACTAGTATCGATTATTACATTTGGTTTTCGGTTGGTGGATAATTATTCACTAGGTTGAGCAAAATTTATCCACGTTGTCACTCTGGTGTTGCATTCGCTAAAAAACCGGTTGCAAAGTAATCGGTCTTTCTATCGCTCACAGAAAAATCGTTCAGCTGTGGCACCCTTTCGGTGCCTAGCTGCCATGCCGCCCGAAGTTTGCACGAGGACTGGGATACTGCCAGGTTGCCCAAGCCTAGACAGGGAAAGTTGAGAGGCAGAGGTCGGGTTCGAAACACGGACCTTCCAGTCAGTAAATTCGCGCTCCAACCCCTTGGGCCATCCCCCCCCCCCCACACACACAAAGGCTTGGCTATCACACCAGGTAGAACTAACAAGGACACGAACTATCGGAAAACGATTAGTCGAGTTAATGTATAATTTACCTCGGTTGGAGGCCATCTGTTGGAAAAAGGAATCAAGCTTTCGATACACGGGCTGCGACGAACATCTGGAACAACGTCTAGATTAGGTAGAACGACCCAGAGACCAAGTAAGAACTGTCACAGCGACATGACGTGTCCGGTTCCGTTTAATTACGCTTGCACTGTTTCATGTGAAACGATCTGACAACGAAGTCTAGACACATTAGGCGACATATTTGGATATACATTACCCTATTTTATCTGACTGATTCATCAGTCATCGACAGAGTTGAATTTCAATGTGCGATTCTATTTGGATAGTGTGTTATGATCACTCAACCATCAATCATTACCACGGGCTCTACAAAATAGTGGACTGTGAACCAGAGTGTCCACTGACTTCACATACTGATGCAATCAAGTACACATATTCACTCAACACATGCCGTTTGTGACTGGCTGATGTCTGTAAAAGCCAATTTGGAGAGGTAAGGGCTTGGTTACCTAGAAAATCGCACGGATAGTCGGAAGGCAAACATCGGTAGTAGACCTCTTAGATAATGATCAGTCTCCTGCAAAAAGTGTTTGGATGGAGCTAACCAGCTGTTAGTCTAGAGCAGTGGACTGACAAGAAAAATGCGATGGAATCCAAAACAAGACATATGGCAAGAGACACGTTGAGAATGCGCGTTGACCGTCTGAGTGCGAGCTAACAACAGCGGTCAAATGGCTCAAAACTACTAGCCGGGAAGCCATCGGTTCGAAAATACCTACCGTAGTTTTCTGGGGTGCGCACTGTCGGTGATTCCCAACAATAATGAAGCAGCCGTACAATGCTTTTCGAGTTCGAGATAGCTCACTGATTAAGGGACCAGCTTACGCACCGGAAGATTCGTGGTTCGAACCCAACCTCAGCATTTCGATTGCTCCTGTCTAAGCTTAGGCAACCTGGCAGGAGTCTAGCCCTCGTGCATCCTTCCGTTGGCATGGTACCCAGGAGCCGAAAGGATGTTAGAGATGAGCGATTTTTTTGCAACATAGATTGACAGGACGAAGTCTCATTCTCAGATTTCTGACGTGGACATCGGGGGTGTGAGGAATACGGGCTACGAAATCGGATACCGGTTGTCGGCTAAAGAATACTGAATGTCGGATGATTAGGTGGGCTATAGAATGAGCATAGGAATGTCAGTTGTAGGTTGCGTAACTCTAAAACGAGCAACTGGGGAACTGCGCGTGCCGTCGTTTATGGTTTGTGATCGGAAAAGAAATAAACATTATCACTCATTTTTCCCGGTCACAGAATACGGGGCTGATGTGGCACACTCAATCCACCATGATGAACTAAATCAGGTAGAAAATACTCACTCGGAGAGAGGGGAGACAAGTCTCTATACAAAGTTATACGGTTGAAGTTATCGAGGGATCCCGAATAGAAATCACAAGTGTCGGGTACATGAGTTTGGGGTTTGATGAAATTTGACAGATTGATACTTTGGCGGAATGAAGGTCGGCGAGTGGAGTTCCATTGAATGACACCTACTTCATGATATCCGTGGTGAGACTCAAGCTCTCTGCCTCAAAGCTGACAAATTTGCAATACTACCAAAACCCCCAACTCACTAAAGAATTGGTTAAGAAGCGATTGACCTTGCCTAGTTTTGATGGATCTTTTTCCCGACGTGGGTTTACGAGAGGTCTATTGCGTTTCACCAAGCTGTCGTTTGAGATTTTGAGAGTTATGAAAATCTGGTGACTTTCGACGAAGAACGGATTTTCCGTGCGCTCCACATATTCGAGCAAACGGAAGCCGTCAATCTCAAATCGAATCACCGCTACACTTAAGCTTTAGACCGAATACACAACGCAGCATGTACAACGTGTTGAAAAACACCTGGAAAAATCTTCTGTTTTTCAGTCGCTGCACCCGAAAATGACCTCCCCAAAGGCACAGAAGAGAGATGCTCAAATCTCGGGGAATATAACAGATGTTTTCCACTGGGAAATAAGAAAACGAAACAATTATGGGGGTTACGTGACGCTTGTCACAGACGAAAGTAGCTTCCGATATGCCTGCTGTTGAAGGATGACCTCTCTCGCTTGTTGTTCTTGTTAGCTAACCCAATTTCTAGCTACCAAATATTGCACACAGGCCTTGGAATGGTTCATGTTCTCTATCTGTCCAGTCTCCTTTAGAAAGAGACCGTTCGGACACTCGATTCATGAAATTGGGAAGTCAATTCGTAGCATTGCTGTTAAACAGGAGATTCCATTAAAATGGATGGAATTCCATAAGTGTCACAAAAACGTGACAAGTGTACTGAAAACTGACAGACAAAACGCGCATATGTGAAGATTTATTCGCACTAAAATAACGGTGATTGAGATGCCGTAGGTGGCGCCAGTGTGAGATTCACACACAAAAAAGGCGAATCACTGGACGTGTAGTGTCTGGAGTTTAGTAGGAAGGAATAGTAAAATCGGCAGTGGTGATAGTATTGGAAACATAAGTAAATTAACCTTGTTCAGAGTCAGATCAGAAGAGATAGATACAATTACACGATCAGGTTAAATCAATGTGCATTTTCAAAAAGGTTCGGAAGATACCGGTAGGAAAGTGGAGCCAGAATGAGGAAGACATCGGACACTCGTTGACGAGTTCTTACGAAGATCTCGGAGCTCATTTGTCGGTGGTTTATTGCAAGCAGGCAGGCGGCGTCAACGGTTGGATATCGAGGGTCGAGGCTGCATAAAACAGGAAAAATAAGAAACGTACTTGGAAAAATAGGTATATTTGTTGGGGAGAGATGGCACTAAAAGTCAGGAATACAAAGCGGGAAGTAAAAGCCTCCCGTAAGAGTGGTTCACACAAAGTGGGAAGAAGTAAAAGCCTCCCGTAAGAGTGGTTCACAGTACCGACTGCCAAAGGGGCTAGTGCCATCCGTCCCTGCACATAACCGGTTTTTGATCAATCGCTGAATTCCAAAACAAATGGTCTGCGATCAGAGTTCTGCAACAGAATAGTTACCCACGTAGTTGACAGGACTCGTGTAAATATCGACTAACACATTTCACTACTAACGGGGGTTAGAGACGGAGGCATATAGAGCCTGTAGACGACGCAATAAGCTAAAAATGACGCCTTTCGTTGGCAGACTGCCGTAGTTTCTGACGCCCACTGGAGTCAAAAGCGATACCTGTTGGTCTGCTGAGGCGCTGCCAACAAAGGGTACAGTCTTGTGTACATGGTCCAAGTGACATGCTCACAGTTCTTGATTTGACAACGCAAGGGTTGTCAGCGCAGACGTAGGCTGTATGAACTTGCAGATCCCTTCAGACAGTTCACTGTGGTTGCTCTCACAAGCTCATCATCGATGACTCATATGGCAAAATTTAGGTAAGCTAACCGGATTATCAGCCGTTCGGTAAGCCCTTATCTGCAATACACGGGATGGGCCGTAGCGAATCGACTGCAATCAGGCCTTGCTCCGCTGCAGCCTGCCACATCAGACTACACGGTATGGCGATAGAGCTATCGCACGCAACACAGGCCATGAAACATGTTGACATGACATATGGGGTACAGGTGTGAAGCCAGTCATGAAAAGCACCAGTACTCAATTTCAAAGAGAAGAGAACGTGAGGAACTGCGTTCAGTTTGAAAAAAAGTCCCCAGCAAAATATTGCCCCATTTCTGAAAACGCCTCCAATCGAGCATAGAAAAGATGACTGCAAAACCTACAGAGGATTTCACCTGCCTGTAAATACGGTTCAGTAAAGTGGGCATTTGAAAAACATCCTTCAGTCTCGAAAAAAATCAAAAGATGCGGGTCTCGATCCTTCTGCTAAAGTTGAAGCAAAAGTCCCGGAAAGTGCCGGTCGACACATGCAGTTTGGTTCATGTTGGGATAGGTCTGAAGATAACATGTATCTAATCTACATGAGTGGCACTGTTTACTTAGACTTTTTATCCCCACCTTTCTGGTCCTGTCACTTGTTTTTTTCCTGCGGATCTTCCACACCGGGTGCCTGTGTAACCAGTGCCAGATACTTAGCATGATATTCACAGACGAACAGAAAGGTGGTGTGGAGTTTCCAGCTTTAGCATTCGCAAAGCCGCATCAGGTGTTCAGACCAAATGCAGGTGGTCAGTTTACCCGATGCCTCTAAATACGAGCATACTCACGGTACACAGCGAGATGGTGACTGGCGCTCAAGGACTAGTCTAAAGCGAGTGACTAGGTCCAGTGACCTTGTCGTGAGAACATTCGATGGGAGAAAAGCACAATCCACATCTTGGGTTGTCATATGTTTAGGAATTATCAAATGATCACGGACTGGGGAACAATAAAAAATAACACCACATCATGCTAGCATCAAGGACAGCTCGAGATAGCTCAGCAGTTAAGGCATGAACTTGGAAATTCCGTCATCTGAACCAAGGCCCGGCATTGTGATAGCACCTTGACAGTAGCTTAGCTCACGTGCTTCCTTCTGGGTGTGCGGTTTCTAAGCGCCCAAAGGATGTTGCAGTTAAACTATTAAAACACCAGTACGGAGACTGTCTATATGATGTATGTGGGAGTATGCTATACCGAGGTGGTGTGGTCCTTAGGGCTGGGGAAGCAGTGTTTGTCCCAGCTTTTTTACGCCTGAAATTCCTCAAGCAAAAGCTACAAGTGGCATTCTACAGCTAAATAACAATATGCGCGACCAGTAGAACTGTCACAAAAGCTATACCAACAAAAACAGTACATCACGGGAGCTCAACGTTCACATAGCAAGTGCTGACGCTACTGAAGCAAATTCGGACATACGGGTAACGGAGGAGCACTTTCATCGTCGGGTCGACGTCTGACAGACACAGGCAGTCGACGATCCACAACCATCGACGAATCGGTGGCACGCAGTGCCGCTGTGGTCGGTACCGGAGTGGCCAATGTCCGCTCAGACACTCCGACGGATTCCCGGCGTACACGCATCGATGTTAACTTGGTGTCGTAAGTCGTACGTTCAATGCCGGCCATATATTCCGGAGTAAGATCAGGTTTAGTAAGTGTCTCTGGTCGTGCGGGGAGAGGTGGTGGGTCAGATGAGGGCGATTGCGTGGGCGCTTTGGTATCCGAAGGAGCAGTTCGCATTGAAGTGCCTGAGTAGAAATAAGTGGAAATGAAGAAAAAGTTGGAAATAACATGCGGAGCCCATTTTTCGTCCAACCGCATTGGCACACGATTCTGTAAATCACACTTACCGTCTCCTGGAGCAGGAAATACGTGATCCACAGAAGGTCGCGACCCAGTCTAGATTGGTAAAAACAAAAGGACAAGAAGCACTGTAAACCTGCCTACCGGAGTTTAGTCATTATAAAGCGAGAACCCTTCGTTCAAGCTGGGATCACTGCTTGACTTGCTGCTAACCTATTTAAACCAAGTCTCCAAACCAGCACGATCGTCGAAATTGGAGAAACTTTTGAAGAGAACATTTATTCGTCTAGTTCATCCTTATGGTCACACATTCAAGCGTTATTCCGCCAAATGAAGCTAGGTAACGGAAATCAATAGAATATGAGGACAACCTAGAAGCCAAGCCACATAGAAATTAATGGCGCGAATCCATTCAATTGGAAATTCGCGATTTATTTCGACGTACAACTGCGGAAGGTAAGATAATCTACGCAGAAGAGGTCACACTTAGCCCTTTACGCAAAAGAATTTTCACGTCAAACGTCTGGGCTGCCCAGTATTAAGATATACAGAGAACCAGTTAGCAAAACTTCGTTTTACCAGTGTTAGCTGTTGGTGAGAGATATTGTTTTGTTAGTTAGTGTGGTGTGTAAGAGCTACAATGATGGGCCGGAGTTTTAGAATCTATCTGTTTTTTATTCATATTAATCGAGTTGAAGAATGCTTTTGCGGATGATTTAGAGTTAGCGGAATGCGGTTACGTGAGATTTTCGGATTAGACTTTCTCTTATGGGTTTAAATCACTCTTTTAAATGATTTCTCTTGACTGATAATTGCACAACGCCACATGTCAAATCCGAATTGTATTAAACCGTTGCCCACGCTACATTCTCCATTCAATTAATCCTAAAAGGGATGGACATTTCCATCGCTCCTGCCACTGATATTCATCGACGTTTCCTGACACCTAATGTGAGTGTTTGTCCCGTTGCAAGCAATTTGATGTACAGTCTCTAATCCTGTCAAGCGAGAGGCAACCTCCAAATTTCTTCCTGGAACGCTAACTGCCGTTGACTGTGTTTAGCAGTCTTCGGGTAACCTATGGGTGTTGCTGCCTTAAATCGAATGGCAGCCATGCGAGTCCACTACTTGCTGGATCAATATTTTCACTAACTGCTGCTCAATCAAATTTAATGAGAATCCACATTCTCGACGTTGGTTTCTGCCCTCATTTTGGGGTGGTGGGCAGATGATTTCTCCGCTTCGATTCGGCACTAATGCCATATACCGCTTTACGATGGACTGAAGATTGGTTTATTGTTTGATCTTTAACTTGCTTCGTTGTTTTGTTTTGATTTGCCACGGATTTCGATACATCAGTAGGAATGAAGGTAGTGCGAATTTTCATATAAAGGACGAAGGTGACGCATCCGGGATCACAGTTGGGTGAATCAAATTCTCCCGTCTGTTCTGAAAGCAGTTGGGAATTGATTCAATTAGCCGTCATTAATATGATTTTCACTATTACGTTTTTCATCACGCTTCGGAAACGATCGGCCTGGAACGCCGGTGAGAATAATTAACGGAAAGAGCCTAAACGTTTAAGATTTATTCAGGTTAAAATTTTGTTCTTGGTCCACAGAAACGTTCAGTAAATCGCCAAGTTTCGTCAATCATTTGTTCCTTTATTTGTGTACCGAAGTGTACTAAGCAAATGAGAATTCATCATTTTTAAAAATAACTCAAATCCGTTTGGAAAACCGAAAATTTGCTTCGCTTTACGTCCTAGGGACAGTACTTATGTATTTTTAATAACGACAATTAACTGGAGAGTCATTGCGCAACTGACTGAAGGTCATGTGTTCAGTGTTCCTGTTTAGTGAATCACCCGATGATATTCCTGTTTCGATTCAAGTACACATCCGGCAAACCATCATCATTGACAGCAACACCAGATGAGAACACTGCCGTACAACCATGTCAATTTATTTCAGTAAATCCTTATGATGGGAAGAAGAAAAATTGAGCAGGAAGAGGGATCTAGGGCTACCTTGAGTTGACTCTAACACCCAGTCAGACAATTTTGACAGAACTGATAGCACGAATGCCACTGATATCGGTTAGCCACCATATCGTTCAGCGTCTCCAGCCAAGCACGGGGAGGGCCCCACCTTGGACGCTGAACAGCACCAGAAGCAAAAAAAGTTTTCGTTACATCATCCCGTTCGGTCGTGTTATATTCTGTCTACCTCCAGGTCCGTACCAATCCAAATTAGACACGGAAAACAACGCTCTTCTATACGGCCAACAACTCAGCATTCGTACCACATGGCCCAGTCGCCTTAGCTTCCAGTGTTGGATGCTTCGCCAAAAACCTGTCTCCTGATCAGCTCGGTTCCATTCAAATCCAGCCGTAGATCTGAGACATCGGTGGTCAAACAACCAAAGACGTCTCAGATCTTGAGCCCGAATCGGTCCAATCTCATAGCAGTACAACAATGTAGTCCAAATTGCAATCTGATACATACGCATCCTCTGAGATCCAGTGAGATGCCTTTTTGACGCCACAAGTGTTGCACATTGGCAAAAGCCATTTTGGCCGTTGATACTCGTTCGTTGGCTTCGTCAGTCATACTACTCCCGGATACAGCGCAAATTTGGAGACACTACTTGAACTGTTAGAGATATGTTGACAGACTGCATGTCTCGTAGCATAACTTTGTGCCTTGGAGGCACGAAAGACATGGTTCATCAACTTCTGCTATCACCGAGAGGGTGAAAAACGGTCCAAGCGGCAGCTCCATTCTGACAGAGGCATAAAGTGAAGCGTCCAATAACTGAGTAGACGAGGGTTGAAGAATGCACAAATGTGTATCTACTGTAAAGGGGCGGGACTCCAAGGCACGAAATTCCTACAATCCAGCTCCAGATACTGATTGCTTCTCCCTGCAAATCTCTGGGATAGTAAATATCTCATTCACTCACAGGTGGTTGGATAGGTGTTTCACACATCGTTTTTCGGGCCGTGTTGTAAGGTACCAAAGGTATCAAACCAAACATTCAAGAGTACAAAAACTCTACCGGTGAGCTAATGACGCGAGAATAAGGACAAGCCATAAAGGAAACTACTTACAAGACCGCTGAAATCTCATCGACAGCCCATAACCAGTTTCTCCCTTCTCGGGATCCATCAGGTGGGCGAAGTCCCAGAGTGTCCGCCAACCTTATGTTTTACATGAACCCAAATTGCACGACATGAGCGAAATACACAACTCACAGCTATTCCACAGCCCACGGCCGGTTTCTCCTTCTTCGGGCTCATCAGGTAGGCGCAGTCCCGAGGTTTCCGTCAACCATATGTTCTACTTGAACCCAAATTGGACAGATCTCGACAAACACACTCATTTACTGGGTCCTCATGGGAGACTCTAATGAATCCCTCGTTTATGATATTCTTCAAATGAATGTGCTGCACAAAGGCCGCCTCATGTTTAGGTAGGTTTGATAGTCGAGATATCGCAATATATTTTCATACAGGAAATTACTTACAAGGTTGCTGAAAACTCTCTGACAGCCCTCAACCGGTTTGGGGCTCATCAGGTAGGCGCAGTTCCCGAGTTTTCCGTCAACCTTATTTTCCAACTGAACCCAAATCGACATGCAAATGAGTGTATTTATCGAAGGTCATCATGCAGCGGGATACATATTTTGTGGGACAGAGTGGGACAATAATAGCAGTCAGAGCCCCTCAACTGATACTATGGTGACGAGAAAACATATTTCTGAACACAGAATCTGTAGCGACCCAGTCACCCAAATACTTGACTGCTCAACTCACAGTCGCTCACTGGATCGCGAGGCTTGTTTTTTTTCTCATACGCACAAACACGTCGCATTAAGCTGACACCGGACATCGATTGTCTGCAGCGCCTAGTCAGCGTAGCAACCACTCATGTGCCGACGCGCCCACATGCACGCACTGGGACCTACATAAAGGCAAACCGAACCCAGTCAAGACACAGACTCGAGCGCGCACAGGGAGCAGGACGTCAACCTCTCCACAGGTCCACGGACAACCATGGAGTACGTGTAGCAGTCTAGCTGCGGAGAAAAACACGTTCCCGCCGTCCGGACTTCCACCAAGGGACTCTCATATACGATAAGTTCCCTTTTTGACTTGCTACCATTTCGCATTGTATTCATTTTTATACGTGTCGCAACCATGTTAAAAACTTCTATTAGTGCACATTCGCCTTCTGATTTGCATTATGACTATCATTATCTGTGCACTAATAAATCCCAGCTCACGAAGATCACTTTGGTCAGAAGAAAGAGAACAAAAACTTGCGAGATATGGACAGTTTTTCGGTTTCAAACATCAAGGTAAGTAGACAGGCGGGCCTCTTGCCCCTTTAAGTACTTCACTGTAATACTTAAGGACACAGGGATATTGCTTTCAGGACTGAGCAGAACGCGGACTGAGGGCGACTTTGTTACGGGCAGAAAATGAGGTAAAATTGGTTGGTATTTTTGTACGGTTCCATAGAAGTGAATTTTCTGAATGCTTCTGAATGCAGATCTTAAGCTTCCAATGCATCGGCATTCATTGATTCAGATTAGTTTATCGAGCAGATGGTGACATGTGGCGATGAAAACTTTTGAAAGAAGGGTGGTGTGAGTGATGTTGATATCAACTTGACACTCACCCGATGTCTATCGACACGCAGTGTGGAACATGATTCCGGCAACTGGGATCCGTCCATGCAGGGAAAAGGACGGGCCGTGCTTGGCTGAACAGAACTGGAAGTGAAATGACAGACGAGATATAATCAGTGAGGAAGAAGAACAGAAATAGAAAAGCAGCATTGCGTGCCATGCCAGCTTATTCTAAGTTGATTGTATAGTGGGATATTAAAAACCATTTGCCTGACCAGGGGTTCGAATGACACTAGAAAGTTCGCCTATGAGTGAGTGTTACGAGCACAGCACGGCTAAACGCTGGAGGGGAAAGTGGGAGAGTTAGCTCTTTCTGTTTGTGGGACCATGGGAAAAGATTTCAGTGGCAGGGGCAAAACGGTGCTTGTGTTTCACTGTTTCAATGGGAAAGCAAGTAAGCCGTACAACAGACCGCTTTTTCTAACCTGTTGTTTTATGGGTGCGACAGACGATAGGTATACGATGACACAGACACACTGCAGTCGTTCAAGTTAGCGGTGGGGATAAGGATAACGGAACGTGTTCACCACCGTCCGTCTGGTTCCATCATTGGAAAATACGGAATTCTAAAAGAGCGATGATTTGCACGCGGCACACGAAATTCAAGGAGAGTGTTCACATGCAAAGAACAGCATAGGTACAACCGTATGAGGCAGGCGAAAGCAGTGTCAATAAAAGCAAATGGCAAGCTGGGTTAGGAAGGCACGGGCAGCAAAAGCAGCCAGTGGTTTGTCGGAGAAGCAAGCAAACAGTACCGTGGTCGAGGACGGGGAATACTTCGCTGGCTGAAAGACAATGGGGATCCATGAGTCTATGAACAGTTAGGTATGATTATCAACCGGTCCACATATCAGAATCATATCTGAGGGTGGAGTAGTTCTCTAAAACAATGAGGCGAAGGTGCTCGTCGTCTTTGTTGCTCATTGACTACATAAATCAAAGTAAGTCAAAAGAACTGTCCAAACGGATAAGATGCATTGCAGTCAATCCAACTTCGTATCGAGCTACGAGTGATCTACTGGAGATTACGCTCAACCATGTAGAAACCAGTGTGTAACGAGAGTCGCGATGACAGGCGAGGGTGCATGCTACTTATGAGATTGGATGAAATCAAATGCGGTATGGTGTTGTCCCATTTGTTCGCACAATTTATTAATGATTATTTGAATGGATGTGGCATGGAGCTAACTCCAAATAAACGGAAATTTGTCCAACAGATTATCAGTGACCTTAGAACTGATGGGAAGATCCTGATACACGGTTCTTTGATAGGGGAGATGCTTGTCATTGAAGATGTATGCAGTTAGCAATGCTTCTCAGAAGGCCTAACAGCATGGACTTATAGCCTAAAACGAGCCGTAAAATACTCAAGTTCCACCAAGCAAAGTGCTGACAAAACGTAAAGACGTTGGGAATGCTGCGGAATATAGGTAGTTCGGTTGGCTGTTGGTCTGTTCGCCGAGCTTGGCAGTTGGAATACAATCCTACTATCAAGGTCGGCGAGCAGACCGAAAACCACGGAAAGATGTGTTTGAGACTGATGTGACACGCAACTGGGACTTGAGCTAACAACAAAATAACTAAGGGAAGATTGGTCACTCAAACAGCCAACCTCCGCCATTCGTTTACCAACAGGTCGATCGAAGATAAACTAGCGTTAGAAACTGCAGGATAGTGTCAAATAAGGACGACGCAGAATACCTGAGCTATTTTTCATAACAAATCTTACCGGTATGACTGCGGCGCAAACTGAATTCTTGAAAGCTTTGATATTAATGCTTTTCGTCCTTACAAGGATGCAATGACAAGAGCAGAGAGTCATAGGTCGTTTACGGCATACACCGCTTCCACACTACAGAAGTAGATTAGAAGCGATCTCTTCTGAAAGCGAGCCAATCATTACAATAATCTTCAGGGAATTCTCTTTGGATTGGTCCCTGTGTAGGAAGAACGGTCCAGCTCAACTGAAATCCAAGCAGCCCTCGTTTTCACGACGATTTAAGGGGGAGCTCAGAAAAAAAAAACGTTCAGTTGTAACACCCTTTCGGTGCCCAGCTGCCATGCCGCCCGAAGGAAGCACGAGGGCTGAGATACTGTCAGGTTGCCCAAGCCTAGAGAGGGGAAGTTGAGAGGCAGAGGTCTGGTTCGAACCACGGACCTTCCAGTCAGTAAATTCGAGCTCTAACTGGTTGAGCCATTTCGCGCCCCTCGTGCGGGTGCTCACGATTAACCTGTTGTATTTGATTGGGCAGAAGTATACCGAATGATCAACTGTACATGTAATTTAGTGAACGCTTGGTCTATGAAATACAATAGCGTGATAAATCTTACTTCTGGGCTTGGATCTGAGGATGTCGTAGCGTGATTGGAGCATTCGTGCTATTACGTCGTTCCATCGAAATCGTAGGACCATAAAGTAAGTGTTCGGCGTTCAAATGGGTCACCGAAAAGCCAAACTTTCTGCTCATGTCCCGTACGAGACGTCCGTACTCCTGGACAAGATTTTTTAGTGCCTCATTCCCATCAACTTTGCCCTGACCGAATTGAGCTCCATGGACCGGGGGTGGATCGAGTTTGTACCAGAAGTTCAAACCACGTAGCTGAAGCTCCAGTAACTCCATAACACTGTCAGCAAGTTTTACAAAGTTACTTTCTTCACCAAGGTCATCCGAAGGTTCTACGTCCTTCTGCAATCAGGGGTGTTTGATAAAAAAGGCCCGTGAAAGGGAGTAGTTTCAAGTAACAGATGGAAGAACCTATGTGGAGTCTAGAGTGATGGAGACGCCCACTGTTATTGGCATTTTGAAGAGTGTATGTACAACTGTGAGGGACGAAGAGAGAGAGAGAGAGTCGACTCTTCTCCCATGGCAATTCTACAAACAACAAAGTAGTTGTCACAAGAACGTGATTTAGAGCGAACTGCGGAGAGAGAGAGACTCTTCTCCCATGGCAATTCTACAAACAACAAAGTAGTTGTCACAAGAACGTGATTTAGAGCGAACTGCGGATAAGGTAAGCTGAACGAGGATGAGGTTGAACATCACGTATGCCGGATTGCACAGTACAATGGTGAGCGCTGGAACCTGGCGCGAAAACCTTCTGTCAGATAAACAAACAGAGACTACGACAAGATCGAATTCCACAACAGGACACGCCAAGCCAACAGCCGCTCGGGCAATAAAACATCGGCCAGCGCTGTTACATTAATGACAACCTAACAGTGGTTGCTGAAAACCCATTTGTACACCAATCTGACTCGCCCATTAAGTGGGTGTATCTCGCGACCAACGTTGGTCATTTTCTCCACGGACTTCACTCTCATAACGTCATGCGACTAGGCTGGAATTTCACATCAACCACCGAACCACAATCGTATCACTCGTCCATCACTACTGGTGGTTACCACCATTAGACTACCGTTTCCACGTGTGTTCCAACAAGCATGGAGAATGTAAATCAGCCGATTCGATCGTGAACAGTTCATCAATTCGGTCAGCTGGTAAAACGAAAAAAAACCGGTCATCGCTAGCTGGATTATCGCCTCATCCACCTATGTGACCAAATTTACCGACGTCAACGTATATTCTAGCAGACCTGGTCAAATCAGTAAATACATGAACCGGTCAATGAATCACAAACGAATCAAACTATTCAACCAACACTAGAGGTATCAAGGATTCAACATTCCATTCGAGTCGAAGTGCTCTGACTGTAACGCAAACATTTCCGGGATCAAAGGAAGCGATGGGGTAAATCTCCAGGCTGGTGGCAATCACTAATGAATATTTTTCTAATCCGCTTATTTCGGCGGTAAGCGGGCTCCACTGGCGCAACACAGTTCATTTCCAATAGTTCCAACAAACAGTCCTATTAGAACACTATGAACTCCAATAATATTTTTTATCTAGATTACAAAAGATAACCCGAATTGGTAGGATACATAGGGTACGTCGTGTACTTTTCTATCAAATACTAACTAGCACTTCGCTACAAAAACGTTTGAATCGGTACGGGTTGCTTATAATATAGATATGAATAAACCATATAGAACGTGATCCTGGAAAGCCCTGTTTAGATTCGAATCCCCACCGATGTTGTGATTTTTCCCATCCATAAGGTCAAAGAAACGAATTGGAATCGGCCGAGTAAAAAAAAACTGAGCGCTTTCACTGTCGGTGCTGACGTCATCTCAGTTCAGTGTGGAATACGTGATATTGTGACCGTCTCTCACTCGGCCCGTTGTACTCTCATTATTCGCTATGATATAAACAGTCCTACGAAAAAAAATCGCTCCAATCATGAAAGCGTTTCGACTTTTAGGTGAATTTGGCCTAACGTACATTTATGTGCACGACTCTGAACAGGTAAATTCCTCGGCATGGTGCTTTTTTATCTGTGATTTTACTGATTTGCCCCAAAAGAGCGCCAGACGACCCAACCACAGCGAACTGATGATCTCCCATAGTTCGGTGACGAAACGTCGATTGTCAAGCCCGAAGACCAGTCACCTGATCAATAAGTAATAAACACACTCGAGTTAACAATACTTCGGGCTCATTGTCAACCTGGTGCATAGTTGACATTTGATCCGTGTGGCACCCTTTCATTCTGAGCCTCTCTAACCCTCTTGGAGATGAACTGTGTCAACAGGAAACAACTGAGGCTTCAGTCCAATGGCTGAAGTAACCCAGTTTCTTTCTGGTATAGTCTTACAGAGGGCCGGAAAGAAGTGCCTTTTACGCCTTTATTAGTAAAACAGCCGATGGAAATTATTTTGAGGCGGCAATCAAGCACCCACGTGAGGTATCTAAACCAGTGCCGTTCCCATTTAGGTGCACGATGGTAGCAAGCAGGCTGCCAGAGCACAGGTCTGTCTGTGCACACAGACATACATGTTGCCGCCAATGCTGATGGATGTAGAAATGGTGGCTTCCGGGATGAGTGCTGTTTAGTTTGGAGATACCTAATTCGAGTCGAGAGGTGCACTGCGAACCAAAAAGTCACGTTAAGGTCGTCTAGGCCTGGACGATCCGCCATTTCTTGCACCGTCTCCAGCCAAGCACAGATGGGGTCACGCGGACCCCATCCTGGAAGGCGTACAACACCAATATCACCCAAACTCCTCGTGATCTCTTTCACGCCTTTCTGCTGTCCATCACGCGGTTTACGCCATCCTGAAGAGGGCACGGGGAACAACACTCGTCTTGGTGGACTTTGTTTCGGCATGCGTAGAACATGACCGAGCCATCGTATCCGATGATACTGGATGTTTTCTCGGATTGAAGTGCTTGTTCACCTGGCGGTTCACGCCATTCTGAAGGAGGCACGGTGAAAAACAATCGTCTCGGTAGACGGTGTGCCGGCACACGCAAAACACGACCGAGCTACCGCAAATGATGACGCTGGACGTTTTCCGCGATTGAAGTATCCATTGTACGACCAAATACCCGTTTTATAATCATCTCGCTGACGCCATCCAAAACCAGCAACGCTTCTGAAGCATACGTGGTTAAATACCTGAAGAGGCCCCAAGTGATCTTTCCTCACAGGCGACCTATCGCACCCTACAACAACATGGGTCCTGCTGTAGCCTGGTACACGCGACCCTTAAGACCCAGTGATTTGCCTTTTTGACGTCATAAGTAACGCAAATTAGCAAACGTGATTCGGGCGTTTAAGCTTCTTTCACTGACTTCATGAGACACATTTCAGTCAGAGCTAATAAAACTGCCGAAGAATGTGAAATTCCCTACAACCTCCACTGGTACTCCCTGAATAGTTGAGGGTATGCTGTGTATCCCGGATAAGTGGCATTATAACAGAGGTCATTTCGAAACAATTTGGCCCGGAAAGATTTATCCTTTACGGAAACGTTGAGTTTAATCAAGATTAATGTTTTCTGAGGGCAGTTCAACAAAGCAGAGCAAGCATGTACATACCAATAGCCTTGGGAGACCTCCAGAAACCGGAGAGGTAATTGATGAAGTGAGGGTGACAATCATGAGCTTCGTGCTGTTGTCTTTGAAAGCCTGTGAAATACCATCTTCCAATCTTCTGATCATTTCTTGTACGTTGATATTTGCCATTTGTGTTCGATCCAACGAGCGCTAAAAGGAGCGGAAGAACAACAAAGACGGTAAGCAGTAGCGGTAATAAAAGACCTCGTGTTAGCCAGTCTCGAGTGCCAGAAACAGGGTTTTAGGGCCCACTAGTGGCACGTAGATTATAGTGACCAGTAATTGGCGCCTGATCCAAGGGATCGAAACTTTTGAGCCTAATCAACAGAAAGGTTCACTACGAAAGCGTCGCCGGTTTTTATTTTAACCCAAAATAAATGCACCATTTATTTCGGACCTCACAATTGTTATGAGTCACAAGTCACGTTCTTACCACCATAGAATCAAAGGTCACAAAACAATCGGAGAATTGCGCCTCTAGCTACACGCGTGAGTGCATACGAAAAAGGTAACCGAAACCCAAGCAGAAGTCCTCAACCCGTAAAGAAAGTGGATACTTAATCGCACGTCTGATCTGGTGGTCTGTGGTCTCTTCGAGATCTTGGCCGAATTAAGTTGCAAACGCCGTTCATGGATTAAGCCGAGGCCTGGTCTCCTTAGACTCCCTCCACTCGGTACAGGCTTGCACGGGCAAACTGAAAATGCTCCCTTGAGAATGGTACTTCGACAGGAGCAGGGGGATTTTTGTTTCTACTTTCAGATGTTGACATGGGTATTTCGGAATTTGTTATGGAAAATCTTGTGTAACTGATAGTGTAAGGTTCAGCTTAGCCATAAGTACGGTGGTCTTTTACTCAATACTTTTACCAATACTACTCCCTCTTGAAAAGTAGCTTATTTTGAAAAAAATAACCGGTGGATACCCGAATTCCATACCGTTTCCACTCGAACCACCGGTACGATGGGCATGATGTTGGGCATCCGGTTTTCCACGTGATACAGAGTCTCTTCAGCAACAGATCCCCCTCCACGACCGTCGCAGTCCTGTTGAAAAGCGGAGGGACAAACATGAGGTGAAAAAAATCCGATCTTATCCTGAAGTAAGAAACCACACTGCAACAGCGATGCGGTTCTAGCATCAACGGAAGAAAAAGGACAGTTAAACCAGGAAGGTGAGTTCGTCGTCGCACAGCGTGCAGGGCTCGACACAAAAATAGGCTGAGGAATCCACTCCGAGTCCTTGAAGGATTCAGGGAGACACAATGGATTCACAGTGATTACTACGAGTTCGTCACCGGCTCCGTCCACCTTGTTACAAACAGAACAGTTGGTGCTGCGTACCTGTGACACTCATTGAAATCCTTTGCTGCCGCCAACCGTGCACCGAAAAGGAAAACAAGAACTCGATTGCTAGAGTACAGGGAGAGTGGTACGTAAGTTCTGTTCTCGTTAGTTTCGTTTGGCAACTATGGACATGTTCGAAGGAGCACCCGTGGTGTGATTAGATTGTGTTTGAACCGTTGAGAGCTGACATGTAATCCGAAGAAACAAGAGCAGAGGCCATGCTACCCAGTATCAAGAATTACGTAGAAGCGAGGGTTGGGTATCCAGGAGTGTTTTAGTGGAACGCATGATTCTCATGAAAACCCAACGCAAACCTCCTCCATCGTGAGGCAACAACTGTTCAGCAGAGGATAACGGGACTCTGGTCGTACATGCATTTCGAGATGATTTTGGATTTTTACCAGATAAGCCCCGCCATTTTTTGCCAGCTCCAATTCAAGGTACGCACACAACCTTGACCTATTTTTGATGAAAATTCCTTATCCGAATCTAGGCTCATTTTGTGCAAAAATTTCCCCGTTCGGACGTGAAACCTTAAAGGAACTTTCTGACACTTTCAGCTCTCGTTCATGACAAGGAGACGTCAATATGTTATTTGCAAAGCCACGGGGTGATCTATCAGCAGCGTTTATGCCAGACAGTTTCGGTAAGAAATCGGTCTTCGAAAAGGAACTTGGCTGGAGCGGTCTAGGATGGTGTTAAGGACAGTAATTCTTATTCATTTATCGCTGGTACAAAAATTTGGCGAAAATCAAATCCTGTTCAGAAGAATCATTAATTAGCCACGTGACCGCTGTTGACTGAAAGAACTTTCTTCGCGAGGCTTGCGCCTGGCGGCTTTTGCAGACTCCAACAGTGATCGGCGGCCAGTTCTACACGTCAAGATCGATGAAACGCTAATATCTCGACGTAAAAACCCCACAGGGCAAGTTCTTCCTCAGCAGTGGATTTTCAGAGGGATCTGCCGGGAAACTAAATGCCAATGCAGCACACACCAATCTTTAGTAGACAGCTACTTGTATGAGTTCTTTTGAAGGCAAAGGTATCGAAAAACGGACCTTTTCATGCAAATTATTAATAGCATGTCCCAATTTCACCCTCTTCAATAAAAACCAAAAGTACAAATTTCATATCCGCTTTCTTCTAATCTTTTTTGGGTGGCGGGGTTTAATTTTTCGGCGCGGCTTATCTGGAAAAGACCCATGATTTTCCCGGTTTTCTTCAATTGTACGTTTCCCGAAAAAACCAGGAAAAAGAAAGCTGAGAAGTGGATTTAATTCTTCCACTTAAAATTAATTACCACCTCCTAATGCCTTAACATTGAAGTTCTGATTCCTCATCATCATCGTCAGAGGCAGCAGTATCAGTGTAGCCAAAGACCCAGAAATTTTAAAGTTATGTTCAAAGCCCTGAAGTACGGAAAAAAGGGGAAAGAGGGAGGGACCTGGTGCTGGCCTACCGCAAGCATTCTGAGGTACCCAAAAAGCCAATCAATCAATCTGCAAGGAAACTGACAACAGGAACGCCACTGATTTCAATTAGACGGGATGTACATGCAAACTAGTAACTGGTTCACAAGTCACTATAACGTGTATGTGATAAAAATGACTGGTAACCGACGGAAAATAGCAGTTTCTCTCAGAAACTGTCCGGAACCCTAAGTTTCTGAGCCACTCACCTGCTGAAATGCTGCTGTAATGCTATCTACACCAATGGATATTCTATATCTTATCATCAAATCCTTCATGGATCTGACTTTGAGGGTGGATACTAAACTCTTCACTTCCCAAGAGCCGATGAACTTGGTCGGTGTTGGTGCCTGCTCCAAAGAAGACCACTGTACTTTCAAAGATATCTCCGAGTTGAAGAGGAACTGGCCGAATTATAGTTGATTAATTTAGTGTCGAAACCACCCGTTGTGTGGATCTGGTACCTGACTGCATTTCAAATGTTCTCAATTTGCGTATGAACCAGAGGAGAAAACGACAAGGAATATGTTGGCTCCAGAAAAGTTTGGAAACTGACTGTCATATCGGTTCTCCCATTGACTGAGGACGCTATGCAACCTGCGTTCCATAAATCTGTCAGAATTTTCTAATTAGCTTCGCTAAAAGGGAGACACTCAGCACGTTGGTAATCTATTTGGACTGCCCTATTTAGATCTGTACGCGGTATGTGTTTGGATTACCACAAGCGAATGTAATCATTGACTGATCAGTTTTTAGTCCGTAGTCCAGTAAAGTGTAAGGTATCTTTAGCCAAGGGATGACGTTGGTTACGTGTACAGTTGGACTAGAATATCAAGTACGATGGGTTTGTAAGATGCCACAGGTTCCGATATTATGCAGCGGTTAATGAAGGCACGAAATCAAACTCGAGTTGGGTCGTCAAAAGTGGATGTCGCGGAATATTCATTTGTACAGGAGAAGCGACTCTACATTCATTGTCATTCAGAAGCACCAGACAAAACACGAAGTGGAACATACCGTGGTTGGTTCGGGGAAATGTCGGATACAGGAGAAGCAATTCACCTGATTTCGTAGATAGTAGCTGAAAACAGACAGAACAGCAGGTAATTGGCTTGTGAGATTGCGGGAAATTTCACGTTAACTAGACGACAAAACAGTGACAAATGGTTTCAATCACCTCTTTATTTGCATGTCTACGCCATGTCCTGTCAAGTGTTCCGGAATGTTGGGTTGCGGGGTCAAATTGCCGGTAGCCACGATGAGTGGACGATCAATAGGTTGTGTTGGATCTGGCTGAGTGTTTGTGAATGTGGCTTGTGGAAATTGGTCCATGAGCATTTCACGCACTTTAGTCGATGCGTCCTTTGTCCGGTAAACGAAACGACCCCGAAGAAAGGAGGGGAAACATGGGCCAAGGAAGGTGAGCACATAGTAGTAGTAAACAGCTCTGGAGCCCTGCTGGTTCACAATACGTGGATACAGTTCCGCCTGTTGTTTCTGAAAGTAGAATATGAGCGGAAAACCATCCAGAAATTTAGCGAATGCTCACCGTTGTTGGCAGCAACAAGCAATGCTAAACTCCAATGGGGCACAGTTAAAATAACCTACTCAAAGAGAGTCTTCTTAGATCGAGAAAAGAAATCTACTGTCAGTGTGCCATGAGATCAACAAAATCCATGGATACAATAATCTCTTTTATACGCGTCTACGAAGTTATCCACTGCCCACCTCTTAGTTTACAACTTTACGTTCCTGAATGACAGCAACTCGGCATGGCCAGATATCCTCAAGCCATGGAATTATTCTTCAGTGGCGGACGAATGTCTGTGAAAGAAAGTATATGTGAAAAGCGGAGAACACAACGGACACGAAACTCACCAAAATGTCACTAAGTTTCGTGTAATCAGGGTGAATGACACGATGCAATTCAATCAATTCGTCGCAGACTTCAATGGCCCGTTCCCAATCAGTGCCTCGTTTGAGGTATTCAAGCGCACCGAGCAACAATTTCTCGCGCAGACTACGTGAGGACGTTGCATCTCTGCAGTACTGTTGCGAAATGTTACTTGTATCGACCGGTTCATCGGACCACTGAAAATACGCGGACAAACAGGTTGAGTAGTGCGGAAAAATGAAGAAGTGAATAATGGATGAACCGGTTGAGTGATAAGCCTCCGGGTTCCGATCAATGAAACGAAATTAGCCGGGAATATAGCAAACTCAACTAACTTCATTGTTTAACTACGTGATCGAGTTTACTATGTAGCCAACTAAACTTGTACATTGTTCAATAGTTCGGTTCAGCGGAAAGGTAAGTGTGTTAGCAGGAATCCACGCGGATCCCACTATACCGCACGTCTTTAGGCGCTGCTACGGCCGAGAAGCCTGGCCCGCTCGAGGTTGGGCCAAAATTCGGGACGCTTGCCGGTCCGGCATCAAGACGAGATCTGATTGGTCAACAATCTGGACCCAACAGCCAATCATGACCCAGTATTGGCCAAATGCCGGTTGCCAATGGAGCTCCAGAACGCGTCAGAAATTCCAGAAAGTTATAGCCGCTTACGTTATATATACGAAGCGCTGTACAACTGTTCCTGATTTCCTTTTGGGCGTTAATAGACCTTGTGCACCTTTGGTGTTTGTTTTGACGTGAACGCTGGCTTGGGAGGCTCACACCGAGAACTAAGCTGAGGAAAATACAGTTACAACAAGTGACCGCGAAGGACGACTGTCCTGAGCTGAAGACTGGGGAAAGACAACATTCAGCATATAATAAATGCATTTAGATCGATCAGGAAGCATTAATTCAGCACGACACTTGAGCTAGGGTAAGTATGTATCTAAGCTGGTACTTTACTGTTGCTCAGAGGAGCAAGACAAGGAAATCCACCATCCACTACTGATGATAATTGTACCAATAATTATAGTAATCATAATAACGATAGTGGCCGCATCTTCTCTAGTCTTGAACTACGATTAGATTACACACACAAGGGATGCTGTATTCTTTCAAGCAAAGCTTATACTTGGACAATCATTTCATCTAACGCGCATCCACCATATTTGAACCGCCTCCCGTACGAATGTAAAGAATAAATTAACTGGTAGACAACACACAGCCGTTCATTCATCTTCTACACACATCGTCAAGATAATGAAAACCACCGCCAAGTCAACACCATTAATAAATGTAATAATCGGAACGGGCAATCCATTTAATCTAACACTGTTCAAAGTACAATCACTGAAGCCCATGAGGAACACTCGCCAAAATTATTGCTTCATTTACCACCAACATCCAAGCATACTAGTCTTGCGTCCGCCTCAACGAACTTCGACTGTCAGAGAATGCAAAAGGTGCAGTAGCAGGAAAGGCTGATGTACGGATTGCGCTGAGCATGTTGACCTCTTCGGTAATGTCTAGTTGGTTTCCAGCAAGCAAGAGAATGTGCTGTTCATTTACAGAGTCGGTTCAAGGCAGAAAAAACTGTGTAGAAACAGACGTCCCTTCCGTACTGCAACAAAGGGGCCTCTAAAATTCAGCAGTGATTTAATTTATTGCGAAAGTCCAGCAGTACAAACGTGATGTTGGCGTAGGGATGAATGCTCAGGTCGGGAGGCTTGGCTTGAACGACAGCAGCCTTGGCGGCCTGTGTGATATGACAATGGCGAGCGCCTACTACCATACCGTATGGACAAACGTCTGTTCATTGCAAGTATCACCCGTCGGCATGTCACCTGGCGCCATCCCCCGGTTAACTCTGTAAACAAATTGATCACAATAAGATAGGCTTAATGGCGACGCTGTGGGCAAGATTGTCGACAGTTTTGTAGTAGTATTGTAGTACTGCAAACTCGACCCTTGACGAGTGGTCCAGGTTCGTTCAAGCTGCTCTTATCTTTCCAATCCGGAAGGAAATATCACCCTTGGTTAGACTGATAAGGCCGTCCAGGTAGACAAATTTGTCCACTATCTCAATCGGTTCATTCGCGAGCACGAAGCGAGGGTTCGAGTCCACCCATCCTTACAGCAGCACTCTACACAGGGGTGAAGTACATAGCACGCCATGAGGCAGGATTATTTAGATTTAATACCTTTTTGCATCCCGACGTCGTCAGATACAACTTCTGTGAGTGGATGTCCCGGGGGCATTTCGACCCTACAGTCATTGTAGATTAACAGTGCTTTCCATGATCATATCAATGACGAAGTTAAAGAGGACGGATGAAATGGGACAGCCTTGCATGAGACCACTTGATGAAATGAACGCAAGTGAAAACTTCTCGAAGGATTTTACATGTCCGCGGGAGTTGACGTACATCGCCTTAATGAGGGTCAAGAACTTATGGGAGATACCTTTGCTCCACAGACGCTGCCATAAAGGTTGACGGTCCACAGAGTAGAAGGCAGCTTTCATGTCAAGGAAGGCCACCATTGTTGGTCTCTGAAAGCAGCGTCGCTGTTCTGGAATCTGTCAGAGAGTAGAAATGTGGTCGACGCATTTTCCTAAAGGATGGAACCCAGTTTAGTTTCGACTGATCTGTCTCTCCCTGTCGTTAATAAACCTTCGAAGGATGGGAGCAGACAGCACCTTCAATGCCACGGTGGTTTCCACACAGTGCTCGTGTACTCTTTTTGAACACACGAATAGCTGTCTACGTGCTCCATTCTGCTGACAGTTCCTTTTCACTTCATACAGCGCCAGTGAGTAAACACCACCACATCAGGTAATATCGGGCAAGGATGCCCATTTTCTTCAAGTTCGTAATCGATATGTCGCTCGGACCTTCTTCACCTGCTTCTAACAACTTGGGGGATCGAAATAGTACGGAAGCGTTCGCTCACGATCAGTAAAAACGCGGACGATATTGGACCAGACCTCTTAGAAATGGAAACTATTTTGAATAACCCAAATAATTGTGGTACACAGTTTGGTAGGCGCTTCAGACCTGCAAAGTTTAAAGTGCTAAGGCAAGATTGATGTGATGCACAGTTAAGGGGCCGCTTTTGTTTGCGGAATTGCTGCGGAGTTGTAACGAAAATCGAAGCTGAAAGAGATTCACGTCGTAGTAGGGGGGAAATCGATGTTCGAGAGGCAGTGAAATTCACACCACAAATTCTGTGTTACCTAACACCTTGAGCTGGAACTTTTACTTTGTGGTGCAAGTGCCAACCGTACCTGTACCGGGTGTCGCTCAGCTGGTCGGCAATCAAATCCCATATACAACGGAATGACACGTGAGGGATATTTCGCGAACAGCTAAAACAACAGAACCGGACCAAAGTTAACAACAGCAGCAGTTTATCAAAAATAGAGAACACCCGTGTGTTTTGCACAGCAGAGAAACAATCAATAGTACAGCAATGGGACTTACCGAGTAGAATTTGCTGATGGCCTGTAACGTGTAACCACGTTCGGTGTCGTTACCACACTGTGCGTGAAGGCTTTCCAGGCGAAACAAGTAACGAAGAGTCATGTCCTGCCGATTGTTTTTTTCGTACACGCACTTGAATTAGAAACGCAATAAATAATCACATAGTCCTGTTTCCCGAAAAAATGAATCACTGACTAGAGCCACAGGTCACACCAAAAATAGGCGTTAGAGCAGTCCTACCGCTTCTATCACAGCGGTAATCTAAACAATGAAGCCACAATCAAGGTTAAACAAGCTAAAATAGAAATGTTACCGAGCTGCAGACCGCTTCTAACAACCTAGATAGTGTTCGTTTTAAAACATAACGTGGACTTTGTGCAGCACACAGCTGGAGAATACCATAAACTAGAGGTGCAGAGAAACCGAGTCGACTCCCGTTAACACCAGCCTGGTTCACAAGCGAGTAGAGCAACGAGTTGAAGCGAACTCGGGGACCACGGCTGCACCCTGTATCACAAGAAGGGCGAAACCGGTCACAGGCTGTTCAAGAGTTTTCAGTAACCTTATAAAGTAATGTGTTTTGTCAAGATAAAGGCTAAAAAGATCTTTATTAAAACTGAATACGATGACATAATAACTGGCAACTCCTCACATGGTTGAGCATGAAACTACCTGATCACCCCCTGAATAATAAGTGGTGATAATCGTCCAGCAGTGACACGAGGGCTGAGATACTACCAAATTGCCCAGGCTTAGACGGGAGCAGTCGAGATGCCGAGGTGAAGTTCGAACCTCGGACCTTCAGGTCATTTAGTTTGCGCCTTAACCACTGAGTCATCTCGAGCCCCCGACAAGGATATAGGATTAGTGATTTTTCAACCATAACTCTACAACACGAGATGTTCCTCAACCCGGTCCACGGGAATTGTTTGAGGTCAGAGAAAATCAAAATGTAACCGAGGTTTGCAGCATAAACAGCCCGCCTCAGAAACAGACATGGTGGTGACGGTGCGATACAGCAAAACGTCAAACAAACCAACACATCCATCTTGTGTATTCATTCGGCAAAAAGTTGTCATGCAACCCAGGACACAAGGATTGATCTGATATCAGGCTGCCAGAGCTTACAAAGAGAGAAATGGGCAAATAAATGAGACCTGGACTCATGGGTTCAAGAACTTGTATATTAGCCCATGATCTGGAAATTCTACTTGGACCTTTGAAGAATATTTAGTAAAGACTACTCCATCGTTCCACGCACGATTGGCCTGCGTATTGTCGGAGTGTGAAGTCAAACTACGATTCAAGTGCCATTCAGGCTGAAAGTTTCGCTCGGATGTCAAGACAGTCGCTTGTCGCATATGCACACCATAAATTCTAATCAAGGACAACGTTGTTTGGAAGCGATGCTTACAGTTTAGGTATACTTGCCAACTCACGAAAGAGATGAACGTTAGTCAACCAATGCTTGAGCTAGAACAGTGCTTACTGAGCGTATAGCATAGGGGACTCCATTCTCTACATTGATAACAGCTAAGGAATAGCGGAAGATGGGTCGATCATTGCCCTAATACAAACAGTAATAATAACTAAAGCAAATACTAACAAGAATAAATGACCAAAAGATGAGGTAACACCTACTCGTAAGTTGTGTAAGGCCAACATCTCGCTCATCTTTGAAGAATGGTTGAAAAACTCGCCGTAGCTGACTAGGACTTTCACCTGTCTGATCAGGTCAGTTACCAGCTGACGTCTTGTCTCATCCAGCGGGACCATTGTGGTCTTGGTGTCATTCGTAAGCTCATGACGAGACTGCGCTAAGCGATCTTCCAATGTGCGACACAAATCTCCCGCAAAAGTTACACCGGCCCACGGCATCACCCGATCTACCTCGCTAACGAAATTACGTTCAACGAAGGCTGGAGTTGCACAAATTGCTTCAAAAATAAGATTGACACAGCTGGTTCGCATGCCTGGAAGGGGAGAGAATATACACGGAGAAAAAGAGCATTAAAAGCGTGGTGGACGTCTGCTCAAAGTCCTAGTGACGATAGAAGATCGGACGGAAAATAGGACAGTTGTCTTCCTCCTAGGGAGGCCATTACCGAGGCAGTCTCTCCTTATATTGGATTCACCACAGAACTAGTTTAAATAGCTCAACTAATGGTGGTCGGTGAAAAGCGAGGCAGCCTGTAAGACCAGCTACAAGCCGATGAGTTCATCGTGATCATGATTGGCTGTCGGGCACGTTACACATCATTATATCATGTTCCAAATCCTAATATATAGTGAACAGAGCTACTGCAACTAAGGTAGTTCCACCACAAACAACGTTTGTGGCATTCCGAAGGGACTGGACCCTATAAAAAAAGGCAATGTTTTCTCCTGGGCACTAAAAATGGCATCACAGCCGAGACAATAGCGGGTTTGTCAGTTATTTTATGCTACTGAAAGAAAGAAAGTAGTGCGTGGCTGAAATAATTAATCTGAAGTTGAACACAATGAATATGGTAATATTTCAAGAAAGACGCTTGAATAGAGGCCACTCTTAGAAATGGCGACAGTAAGCATGCACCGTCAGATTTCTACCGTATTTCCTATCTCTGGAGAGGGTAAGCCCAAGTGCGTGAAGAGTTTGCGTCTTTGTTTATGGGAGAGAAAATTCTAATGAGGTTTGTTATCTGTAGAAAATTGAGCTTAACTCACCTTAGACGCATGTTTCCCTGTTTACCGAAAATATAAAACATTTGAAAGAGAATAATCTCGTTATTTTTCGCTCCCCAGGGGCGTTGTGTCAGAGAAGATAAGTCCTACCCATAACATAAAATAGTTATTATTGGTTCAATGTGCTATTCAATCAAAGCAGGGTGTTGGGTTAGCCACTTTCTACCTTGGTGCGGATGGAATGGCCATTATGGGCGCCAGATCATCCCAATCTCCTGAGCAGTTGCTCTGTCCGCTAAAAGTACCTGGTTTCGAACAGTGTGTTCCTTTTATCCACCTCGTTAGAAGTGACAGGGAACATGGGCTGCGATAAGTCACGGTTTCTTTTACTCTATGTAGTCGCAAGCGTAAAAGGGATGGGCGGTTACTGTTTGCGTAGTACAGACGACCTGAGTGAAACGGGGTTCACCTTATCAGTTTTTGTGCGCAGAGTTCTACTTACCACTAAAAACTTACCGTACGTGTTGCGTACCCAATTTCTAGTCTATATCACGGTTACTGTTTGCGCAGTACAGACGATCTGAGTGAAACCGGGGTTCACCTTAGCAGTTTTTGTGCGCAGAGTTCTACTCACCGTATGTGTTGCGTACCCAATTTCTAGTCTATATCCTAGAAAGCTAGACTGCAGTGAGACCACTTTGTAGAAGCAATCAGACATTTATCGGGAAAGAAAGATGTTAGAAGAATTGGAGATGGAAGGTCTAATAAGAGGGAGGGAATCATAAGTCTCAACGCGACGACTTACTAGGCAGCGGTAAAGTAGCCATATCAATCACAGTGGGTAGGAACATTGAAACGTATTGCTGTTTTATCGCCTCATCAGAATTCGGCACTGCAAGAGAAGAACGGCGAGCGAATCGAATAAGCCTTGATAGCAAAGACAGGCAAATTATGTCGAAATTAATCGGCACTTATTTTGTACACTGAGCGGGATTACATGGTTTTGTCCAAAATATCTATAAAAGTGATGAAAAAAACGAATGCAATCAGGATGGTCACGTGTTTTCGGGAACCATATTCTGTCTTTCTTATCTCAGATTCAAACAACCGATACACGGCACTCAGTAAGGGTGAACAATACGGAGAACGGATAGGTAAGGCTGCTTGTAAGTGGCACATAAGAACCTGTGTGGATGGAAACAATGGCCACAACAGTTATACTCAGTTGTAAGCCATGTTGGTCAAGTAGGTAGTATGGAAACGTGGAGGAAAACTCATTGAGTGTGTCGGGTTACGAAGCACGTATTGCATCTTGTAGAAAATCGATTGATGAGCCGCTGACTGGGTGGGAACAGAGCTCGAAATAGCTCATTGGTTGAGGTGCGAATTTACTCGCAGGAAGATCTGTGACTCGAACCACATCGCCTTCTCCTCTCTAGGCTTGGGAAAACTGGCAGTATCTCAGCCCTCGAGTGGCATCGTGGCTATGCACCGAAAGGGTGTTACATCTGCACGATTGGACGGAAAAACGATCAAAATGACCTTATGTTCTTCAAGGAACTGGAACACTTGGCCAACCTTAGGGTGGAGCGTCTTAATTGGGTCATACTTTTCGTGTTTTTCACAAATCCCTAGGCAAATCGTCGCATGGATCTCTACTTTGCATGTATGAAATTGGTGAGCGTCATAAAGAGTCAGGCTTAAGGTCATGTGATCCCATACAACCCATGTTCGAAACCACCTCGAGCATCAAACACAATTATTTGTTTTCAACATTTCGCCAGAAGACTGATCGGAAGTGTTACGGATAACCAAAGTTGGGAAGTCGCGGAAAAAGTCGTTAGAAAGGCTTCACCTCAAGAAAATGGCCATATCTAGTAATGCTCACTTATTAGCTACCTAGTAAAGCTGCACTTCTCATTTGAATAAAAAAGTACTGAAACGATTTTGCTCCAACATGGTTGGTTAAATAACGGGATAGATAATGAAGTTCTTCGACTCCAGAGCTAACCTAGAAGTGTTCCCATAGGAGGTCGTGGTGTAGTGACCTTTACCAGCCGAATGTAGTCGAATCGTCTTAGGTGTTGTAAATTGGAAATTACCAATAATGAACGGTACCTCGGTTTTCCGGTGCGGATTAGGGATATCAGTCACTTATCGGTTTATCATTCCGGTCGATATCTAGTTGTCCCTAATATTTTGCGTCTGATACGAAGCTGTTCGGTGATTTAGAGATTTGGTTTTATTTTTATAAAGTCAGTGGTTCTGTAGTAGATCCAGTTGAGCTAAAATGACGCTCAATTAGACGTTATTTTCGTGAACACTCTTGAGGAACTTACCGTCTAGAAATAGAGGGCACACAAGGGGCATGAATGGGAAGAGCTGAAATCAACCATAGCACTGTATTGATATCATAATGAAACCTGTAAACAGATGTTACCAAGGGAGTAGAGATACACTGAGGCAACTGTGAGGTAATCGATCACTGGCAATCCGGGTGGAACTCATGATTAAGTTTGTCTACAGATAAGCTTGATCATGAAATTCACTATTCAGACGGGAACAGGTTTTCTCTAAGTCCTTTTCTATTTCAGATTCAGGTAACTTTTGTTGACCCGGGGGAGATTTGTGTAATTTTACGAAGTACGAGACCTAATAAGACTACTCGTTCTGGTGCACCGTCTGTCACCTGAGGGGTTCCCAACGTGCTAGCCGAATAGTCTGATGAACACTTGTTTTCCAGAACAATATCGGGTTGTTGGAAATCAGGCCGCATAAGGCCATTTCCAAAGGTTCCGGGTAGCAACATAGCTATGCTCGGAAACTTGCGATTCGTACATAAGTATTTGAGTTTAACATTGGATACTTCACGGAGAAGAAGGAACAGCCCGACTTGCGATGATCATAAACCTATTATCCTCTGGATTATCTCAGGCGTCTTTCAGGGGTGCTTACTTCTCTTGATACATGAGAAATTCTCCCAAAATGAGGTCATCCATACACTGCAATTCTGCTGATGATTTTTTACCGCTGGTTCTTCGAGTTTGGTTAACCTTCAAGATGGAATGGGTCCGCCCACTGCTTCCCCCTCGAAAAAAAACGAACGTTAAAGTCTTAGGATAGCCTGATTCACACAGTTTCTTCACGCTATTACCCAGCACATCCCTAGACGCTATTCAGTCTAACATCAAGGCAACAAGTTGACTTTGTGTGCCCCAAGTTCAGAAGGCTTTCTGCTAACTCTCTGAGGCTGACTGCTCAATCTCACGATAGCCTGTTCAAAAATTTATCGCTTTTATTATTCGCCTACAGTCTTTTGTCCAGAAATGAAGGCAACTATTTTCTGTTTTTTTTTGGGGTCCCTAAACTTTCATCCACTAAACGTTGTTGGCTTTCTGGTTGATTAAGACACATCATCGATAGCATGACATCAGTGTTCAACACCGATGCTTCACTGCCGTATGACGTGATGGATTATGCACAATGAATTTTTCAAATCCACTTCAACATTCTGCACATCCCCGCGATTCAAAATACAATCCCGTAGTACAGTAACTTGTACAAATAGCACAGTGGTCTATTTAGCCCACCCGTTAATACACCATCAGAAAGTCATACACCTCTTTAATCAGCAGACGCTTTGAGAACTGTCATCCAAACGCCTCTCCTCTACATTTAACGCATTCCGGAATTTCATTCGGAATTCCCCAAAGTGAAATGTTGTAAATCCACCCTCTGAGTGCACAAACCTTTCATTGACTCGACCGACTTGTCTTGAAATGTTCCAGTAGCGCACCCAAGGAATCTTGTTGCACTGCATTCGAGGATTTTGAACAAGGAGGGCAGTTATATGAATCATTTCATCAGAACCAGAAACATGATAGGAATCAGTAGCGTCCGAAACTCCAGCGCAAACAACCTATCACCCGGCAGAGTGGGAAGTTATGCTGCGACTGGTGGCATAAATGATCGTGGATGATAGGATGGGTAGGCATGATTGGAATCTTTTGAGTACGTTAAACGGTGCGCAAGATGAGAGGCACAGTATATAAAAACATTATGCATCGATACTCTATTTCTAAATATGTCTTTTGCGAGGAACAGGTGGGTCAATGGATTGTCGATAATGAACTAAGAGGTGCTTGTCTAGACAATCACAATAGACCCAGGAACTGCAATGCAGGTTTTGTCCGGCAAGCTAAAAGGCTTGGAAACACTGTACAGCTGCTTCACTCTTATCGGAAATCATCAGCAGTGCGCATCTTACGACTCTTTGGAAGATTCGGGCACGTAGCTTCTCGGCTAGCGGCTGAAAACTTGACTGTTCGGCTACGGACGGCTGATTAACACGCAATTAGACAGGATATAGCGTTATTCATCCTTCAAACACATGGTCAACTCCTCGAATCAAGACGTCTTAGATAGAAGGTTAACTTGTCGACTGATTTACATTACCTTCTTGGCCTCTACAGCTGCACATTCGTGAAATGTATACTGCTGGTGATTTCCAATAAGGGCTAAACAGCCGTACAGTGCTTCTAAGCTCCTCGGCATCAATTGACCTCACTTGCAGGACGAAATCTCAATCACGCTGGTGCCTTTGAGTTTGTGGTAGTGAGAGGTTTATCCACGGTTGCTTATTATGGTAAAGATTTCGTTTCAATCGGATTAGTGGTCGCTAACAACCGGTAATCAGGATGATAAGGTCTGGTAGTGAATGGTGTCATAAACAACGTTTGACGGACTGTGAAACGTAATTGCTATTCTGCAGGTGGCCTTGAAAGCAACCATAGTCGAGCAGGATGGAATACGATTGGTCAGACCATTAATCGCAGAAACAGTGTGGACAGAATGGGGTCGGGGCTGCGAAAATATGGTTTAAACAAGCAAAGTTGATCGAGATAACGGGTAAGACAGTTGGTGACTCACCCGTGGCACGCCACAAAGAAAGTAGTAGATCACAAGCAGCCTGACGATGATCAACACCTCGATCGACCAAACTAGGGTCCACACGTAGACGAATAACCGAGGGCAAGGCTTCCACGGAGAGATGAGTCTGTGAAACGACAAAACTGGCCAAACATTGTTGAATCATGTACACCAGTTGCATGGTCAACCAGTGGTCTGCTCGAAGTAGCGGCTGTACAGGTTCAGTCTGACAAAAGAAGCCAGGAGTAAAAACAACAAGTGGATAAACATGAACAAAGGGGAAGTGGAGCTTATTCAAACGAGGATACTCTGGTCAGCAATACATATTTATCTTTTATCAACAAGCTGTTTACACTAGGACGAAGAAGACAGTGAACATGTGATTAGTTCAAGTTTCTTTTTGGTCTGATTCCAGCTAGTGAATGTTGGGAAGAAATGCAAAGGCCAACATCGTAAACACACGTACTGGCGGATAGTTTAATAAAATAAACAACCAACAGCTCTGCTTTTGAACATCATACGGACTGACACCTCCAGGTTACCGGACGACTGGAACGAAATTTCTGTCTCGAATTTAAAATCTCATCTAATATTCGGACTCCGTTCTGCGTTCACTCAGTTCAATTTCATTCGTTCTGCATTCAATCAGCGTACTGCAAGTTTTCGAATATATGAATAGTGAGATTTTTAAGCGTGAGTTCTATGCGTTCTCGTGAAAGGCTATGGTGATATGTGAAAAGAATCAAGATGCTCACTCCTTCGAGAAATATGCTTCTTTGCGTATCATATTGGCTTCAAAGGACGACCCCACTGAATCTCTCGTGTATGACACTCTCCACAAAGGCCGCCTAATGTTTCAGTTGGTGCGATATTTGAGATGCCGCGGTACATTTTTTCGAAGGAAGAATATGCGTAAGGTTGTTGCCGAAGGGTTTCCAGCAAACTTATGCGTAAGTTTTTTCGAAGAAAATGCTCAATCTTTGTTGGGTAACACACTGCAGAATTGATGAAAGAGAGAAAGTGCGCGATCATGTACGCGGCATTTCGGTTTAACAATAAGGGAGGTGTGATCGCCTGCAGTGCAAATATACAACACAGCGTCACGGCAGATCCACATCGTGCGGCCTGGTGTTGAACATAAATTACGATTCGCGCTTTAGACCACAGTCAATGCCCCTCGTGGTTACAGCCTATTGAGTTAGCTTGCCACGAACGCTTAGGTTCTTCTTCGACGCTTAATTAGTTGTTCGATTGATGTTTGAAACTCTGTGACTACGCAAGCATGAGCTCCAAATTGACCCATCACACTTCTGCCCAAGCAAAAACCGATCGAAGAATGTCAACGTCACCAGTAAGAACTTAGTTTGATCCCAAAATAGTCCAGATACAAGAGAGTTAGTCTGAACTGACGCACAAAAGACAGTGAACACTGAGGGCAAATTGAGAGTAGACGCTAATCAGACTTCTGACACGGGTCATGCACAAAAGTTAATCACATCACAACATCCGGGGTGTTAGCTCGTGGGTGAAATAAGGATATTCTGTGCCATGCATGGTGCACACTTCGAAAGTTCGCAATGAAGGCAAACTGGGACTTTTTTTCGTAATCACTCTACTTCAAATTCCATTGAGAAACAGTCGAAAAGAACCAATTATCTTTAGACCAAGTAAGTAAACATAATCGGTTTACACTGTTGAACGCGAACAACCAATCAAGGCGTTGGGAATCAATTGTAGGTATCAATGGGACAAATCATGAAAATATTTGCAAATGCGTATAAGCCCAACTACCGCGAGGAAGGACGAATTACGAGGTTTACACAGAAAAACGAATTAACAATTTTTTTAATCGGCTCATAAGAAGTGAACTACTTACCGTGTCCTTTTCAGTCGGGTTTACACTGTGTTTTTTGACAAAGAGCAAATCGATCAATAAATTCAATAGCTGCAATTCAATATCTGATGCAGCCGCCAACATTTCAACCCACGCATCAGCCAACTGGTTCAAACTTTTCCCTCGGTACCTCTCTGGACCTTGATTCATCCAGTGCAGACTTCGGTCGGAAGTTTCTTGAGATAAACGGTTGGAAGGGTAAGATGACTGGAACGAGGATGAGGAAGACGAAGATGTTTGTGGTGCCGGATAGGGCGGTCGTCGATGTATGAGATCGAACAGGGAGCATAGCTCATGAATCACATCGTACAGATCCATGAAACGAAGCTGATTGCATACATTACAGGAGCAGATTGTTGTCACTCCTCCGGATACCGCGGTCTGGCTTTGTGCTGCGCCTGATGGCAACAGAAAAGACAGCCAAGCAGTTCGATCTAACTGCTGCAGTAGAGTTAGGACCACACTTGCCAGACAACCCTGAAGTGAGGAAAAAGCAACAGGGCTGTAGATTGCCACGGAAGGAGCATTGGATCTAAAATTGGGCAATAAAAGCTAACCAAAAATGTATCCAATTGACAGCCTGCGACGGCAGTGGCTTGCTTCCGGCTATTGTCTGGGGACAGTTCAGTCTGGCTACTTTAAGCTCCGTTATTTTCTTTAAAGTCCTCCGATCTCTCTCGTTCTCTCGATAGAGCGCACACTAAAATGAATATTAATTGTGGATAATCACACAGATGTAGCACTACACTAGTTTAAGTTCAAGTTTAGGTATTATAATGTTAAATAAATTCCAAGTTGCCATCTGAAAAGACCAAAGAAGCCTGTAACAACCTGCAACATATATGGTGCTGGTATAACTTCAACTTGAAAGTCAGGGACAGAGTTCGCAATGTTCCAGTGAACTCGGTCCTGTAGTGGGTCCGAAACGTGGCAAATACGATTCGAAGTGACGAAGAGGTCAACACCGATAACATATGTCACCGTTGCATTGACCGCACCGGAAAGGGACAGCAGATCAATAATGTCGCCGTATGTCAGACGGTGTTCAAGAAAAACAACTCGCTCTGAATAGTATGACTAGTCAGAATATATACTAATCTGTTCAAACCACGCTTCACGACTCAGGGCCACCTGTCACATAGGGCCTTTCCCTCCTGGCAAGATGCCCAGTGCAGATGTTTCAGACACAATTAACTGGCTGTAAAATAAGGAGGCCCCAATCGTGTTAGTAACCGCCGTCTACCTGGATGAGATGTAGTGGTGGTAGAAGCAAGTAAAGTCAGTACTCGTCAATTGAACTACCACCACCCAGCCCTAATGAGGACTGGGTGATGTCGGTCGATTAAATTAACCAGTGGTGTGTCATATTCCATGGACACTGTCCAGAGAGATAGAGAGAAAGTAGCTGCCAACACAACTGAGTTTATCAGCTGGGGCTCTCACCCCTTCTTCACAGGTCGCGGGTTGGCCGACCTACAAGCAGCTGAGAAGTCGTCGATTAAATTAACCAGTGGTGTGCCATATTCCATGGACACTGTCCAGAAAGATAGAGAGAAAGTAGCTGCCAACACGACTGAGTTTATCAGCTAGGGCTCTCACCCCTTCTTCACAGGTCGCAGGTTGGCCGACCTACAAGCAGCTGAGAAGTGTCAGCGAGGAAGACAGTCCTCCAAAAGGCAAAGTGGCCCGACATGTATGGCATACAAGGTGTGACTAGAGTCTCCTCAGTATCATGTGAGGCATTTTAGCAGTACTGATCGACGGTTTCGCCAGGCCTGAGTATAGTTTGGGGACATATGTGGTCAGACGTGGGAAACTGGTCTTATTTTATGTGCACATAGGACATACCTAAGTGCGGGTTGCAGCGACGGATATCTCGAGAGGTATACTAGTTCGATGGGCATAGGAACTCAATGAATCAAGTGAAACTCACCAAAATGGGAGTTAATCGCTGATGAACAAAAGATGGTTTGGATTCCATTGGGCGTTGAACGCGCGTCTTAGGTAAGTATACAGTCCGACGGGATGTCATTTGGGGATCTGGAACATCGAAACAGTCTAATCGGACAGACGTGTCCTCTCGCTTGATGAACAAGTAGACACGAGCTAACTGTTGCAAACACCAACGCAGAAACCCATTTGTGATGAGCAACTCGTGAAGCTCCACAGTGGTTGTGCGCCCCGATTCCATCACTGGCGTTTCGATATTTTCGGAACAATCATTCTCGTTGTCCTCCTGAGTTTCCGCAATGTTTGCCTGGATTACCCGACTGACGAATGATAAGAGGAGGTCACACCATGTCTCCACTAACAAATTCGTCTCTGTCCGTCCGGGTACCAGTTCCTAGAGAAAGAGGGAAGACAAGTCAACGCGCTGGATAGGATCAGAAACCAAAAGGAGGCGAACTGAAGAAAGGCACAATGAATATCTCTGGAACCTTTAGACTACTTAATCGACCAAAAGCTGCAGCGAAAATTATGAAACTGTGTTGGAAATTAAATAAACACGTGTGAAGACTTAAACACCGGTGTAACTGAGCATGTTCAATGATGTTTCCCTCCAGGGGGGTTTCGGAGGTTGATGAAATTCACAAGGCCAATTCCGTTTATGTGGCATGTTGTATGAACCCATCACTTAGTCATTTACTGGCACTCTCTCTTAGATGTTAGTTCACCAATAAGGCGAAACGTGATCATCTTTCATCAGACTGATTTTCCTAGAGCGTTGCGAAACGGACTGCAAACCGCATGAGATTGGAATTGGGGGTTTCTGAAGAAGATTTGGATGGCACTGGCCCTCCTAGACGAAAACGAAGAGGGATCAACAGCGAATAAAATCACTCCTGAAAAAAAGGACAACGGAAAAGGAGGAAGATTCTATAGGGTTCTGGAGGTATTCACCTGTTCAGGTGTTTCACATAAGTTGGGAGTGAAACGAAGAGCGCGTGAACAAGTGGCAAGTGGTTTAGCATGGGAGGATGTAGTAGAAGACGTAGCAGACAACCTCAAAAGAACTTCCAGTGGGATTCCTTGTACAGACTATGGAGGTTTGGTGAAAAAAGATGAGCCGATAGCCCGGCAATCACCGGCAAAAATACAACAGGTAGATGGACCGTTGATTAGACAACAGTCACAGCAGGTACGCTGACGTAGCCAATACTCTTCAACTCCTTGTGCTACCAGCTAAATACACAAAAAGAAAGCAATGTGCTGTTACCTTGGATAGTATTTCCGCAAAGTAGGTGGTCAAACTTTGTTGTACTGTAAAGAGGAGAGTTTTCCGCGGCTCGGGTTGATCGAACAGTTGTGACAGAATGATCTTTTCAAGTAGTTTGTGATTCTCTAATCCACAAGACTCCTGGGCGCGTGTGCCCATCAGTCTCAGTAACCAGTTGGCAAGCTTTATTGCAGGGTAGACTGTCAGGAGATCTTTGAACACTTCTGGAATACAGTGAAGTAGGATAGTCTAAAAAGATGAAGAATGGGATGAGTAGAAATAAGAAGCCCGTTCCACGTAGCATCAACCAGGATACAAGGCATGGTTAGGTAAAACAAGTAGGTAGTGCATCGATATTGCACACGATCACAAACGCTCTAAAGTAAGGAGCAGCATAGAGAAGATGGAACTCTAGTTTGATACCGTTATTTGTTGCTTAAGAGTAGGCTCAAAACTCACCAAGGATTAGTATTCAAATCACTTCCGTCTTCTCCTTATTCTGAGCAATTTTTCTGGCTAGCCCACAACAAAAAACGAGAAGCGCCGGACTCAATTTTCTCTCCTATCAGCTCCCATCAGTTAACGAACTAGCTAATTAACTCAGTTCAGCCCGTTAAACATCCTTGGTTATACCGGGACCCGAACTCCGGATATCCGACACGCGACGCCAGTGTATTAGCACCACTAAATCAACGCAAGCTGGATGAACTAGTTAAACTGAACCGGCCGGTATTAGCCCAAGGACATCGCTCTACTTCCATGAATCATTCTTCTACCTTGCACAGTCGTTCTGGTTAGTTCGAATCAATTTCAACCGCCATTTGCAGCTGATGCTCTGGCATAATGCCAGAACATCCTTCTGTCATATCCAATCAGCCTTCAGGGTGATGACCGACTAGAAGAGACGGTTCATTGTCCCTGAAACAGTGGGATATCATAGACAATAAAAATGCAATGAAATATAGCGCATATTCGTTGCTAAGAGATAATAACCCGTTTAGTGGGTAGGTTACAGAGCAAGATGAACGGACGGTCACAAAGCTTACCCTCATTTGTTGGTCGTTGGCCGATGATATAACAGCAATGGCTTGTTCAAAAAATAAGTCAACTTGGTAGATGAAACCATCAGGCGATTCTTTGTCAGGCTCTATGAAGTCGGTATCCGAAATAGTCTTTTCATCTCGAAGCTCCAGTTGCTTCAGGGTGTTTGAAGGGAGGGGTAAAGGACAGATAACGTCACGATAAAGAGGGCTGTGGTGGCGTAGATATGTCGATGCAATCTATTCACAAACAACGGTTCTTTTCGCTGAAAAGATCCACTTCCGAAAATGACCATGAGACTGATTGGCAATGTATCACCAGTGAGAGATAACGATATGCTCAAAAAACCCATAGCATGCTTTTGGACTTTCTAACACGAACTGTCTTGGATTTACTGTACGAAATCTGAAAGAGAAAATTCCACCACTGGGAGTCTAGTCTAATAGGCTCCCTTAACTTCCCTGAGGGCAGGGCTGCTTGTTTCTTTTGAGTTCTTTATGTACCTGTAGTAATATTTTCTTCTAATAAGAAGTCAACCACATCGGCGATAGCGTAATACTGATAGTTCAAGAGTGAACGTTCGAGACGGTATCAGTAAATGGTTATAAAAATATCATAAAGTTAGGTGAAAACAATAATATAACGGAATACCGAGGTAAATATCACTCATCAGTGTCCAGCGATCACAAAAAAGACTGGTAAAAATTTCCTATGAAAAGGCAACACCCAGCTGCATATGAATTAAGGCTGTCGTATCCTTACTTGCATCATCAGGTTAACGATGAAAATATGGAGGATGGTGATCTGGTCTCAGGTTTTCCTCCGTCACATTTGAGGAGGGAACAGGGAACATGCATTATTCACGCAAAATGCACATGGGTCATTCAAATGAATGTGGAATTCGAGGAAAAAATCCAGCTGTTCACAACTTTGCTGGAAGCTGTGTGCGGGCACTGGGCTGCACAACAACTTGTGCAATCGAATTAAGGGCATTACAAAGCATGTCCACAAGGGGTTTCAATCATCCATTCCATCTGCAGGATTCCTCATCATACCACTAACTGCACTTATTACAGCTAGGTACCAACCGAACTCGGTGTAAATAGGGGCCTGACCACTGGCGGTATAGAACTTCAACGTCATTTTATCTGATCTCCCGTGCAAGTGCGTGGATTGCTGAAACCAACCGATGGGCACTGAATGCACCAACGGGACAAACCGACAAGGGAGTACTGATGGAACGTAACCTGAAAATATAAGGTCTTGAGAGGAAGACCCTTGAGATGATACATATCGAATCGGGTCTCTCAAACTCTATCTACTCGATTGGCACAATAAATCTAGAAAAAGTCCTCACGAGCTGCGCAGATGCTCAATTCAACGGAAATTATTTCATCGGAAGAATGGATGATATTTACATTAAATAGACGGCGTAATAGAGGGCAAAAGGTGGTCACACAAATCCCTCAAACGCCAAACAGTAAAGATTCTAAGGAAAGACTCTGATGGACATCAAACGCTCAGGATATGGAGAACGCTTTTGTTACGGGAAACGGCCGTGCTCTATATCAGCTGATACGATCGACTGGCCCTAGGAAAGCAACGGTTGGCGAAAGATAAGCGAAAAAGATGGCCCATTAATTCACTCCCAAAACATATCGAAAACTCGGGTCAGTAGGTACCGATTCCGCAGAATGATAAGATTTGACATCTTATCGTCTAGCTAGCAGAGCGTTCATGTGTTGGTCTATCGATGAAGCTGACGGACTACTTAAGAGTCAGTTTTTTTTCTAGACTAAAAATTGGAAAACAAAACGGTCCAGAAGCCCAGCAGATTCAAACGAACCAATATGACGATGCTGCCTTTAACTGGTGTGCTGACCACCTCTGAGTCATGGAGCTCAAAGCAAGCGGGTGAACTTATGTTGATTTTCGATGGTTCTAAAAGTTAGGAAGAGCCTACAAAAATTCCTGCTCTGCAAAAACTTTGAATCCATTCTTCATTTGGCTGAGTAAAAATTCACTATCGAGTCAATGGTTGCGACATCTCAGTGTTAAGCGACGGTATCCAGAAATCCAAACCCGGTGCACTCCAGTGCCCATAGGATTAAGGAATTCGATTTTCAATCACAGTGAATCAGTTAGGTGAACATTCTTCCTTGGGATCACAAGTGGAAAGTCCAATCTAGGCGGTACGACGCTAAACGGAATGGAACAATTCATGGAATAACAATACGACGAATATGTTTTATGTGTCCCGAGGCTCATAGTCTGAAAGTACAAATTGTCTAGCGTGAAAAAACTGCAGAAAACTCTTGAGTCAGTCACAAGATGTCAGCGACCAGATACACGTTTGTATCCACGTATGAACTAATAGTAAGCGACCTAGGTATAGTTTGGAAGGTGCTGCCGGTATAAACGCCCTAGTAACACCCCGGTCCGCACATCAAATCACCGCTCTTCAA